TAGGCGGAGGCTGCAAGGGTTGGGGAATGAGACACAGCATGAGGGTGAGCATGTCTGCAGATGGCCTCTGCAGCTGGGTCGCTGGTAGTCTCAGGGCTCTGCTGAGGTAACGTCTCTAACAGAGCTGGTACTGGGCATCAGAAGGCCATAGAGGGAGGGAGCTCCACTTGTCAGGTGTCCAGCAGTGAGGACGAGGACTGTAGCCCAAGCAGAGCCACAGCCCCCAGTGAAGGAGAAAGATGGTGACAACAGCAGGCTGCAGAGAAGCAGATGGCAGTTCTGATTACATGTGCCCTGCCGTTGTGCACCCTCCAGCCACATCTGGAAAGCACCAATGGGGAGAATGATCTCAGGAGGCTTGGGAGGCAGGCAGGATATCATAACATGGAGACTTAACGGTACTCTGGTCCTTGTGAATCCTCCAGGTAAGACCTGGGTATAGAAGATAGAACAAAGACCATTTTACTATTCAAGGGATTACAGTTTAAAGCATCATGCTAAATGCATTTTATGTGGTAGAAGTGGAGAGCATAGAATATTGGACTAAAATGGACTATAGCAAGGGAGCCATTTATTATCTCAGCCTTAGTTAACATGAGGCCTGAAGGTAGACAGGGTTCTTTTCACTGGGTGTCTCAGTGGTGTCATGACCCTAAGTCAACCTCTCTGTGAGAACCCTAGCATTCACCTGATGGTTGTAAGGCACCACCATCTCACCTTTGAGCATGCAGAGCTGTAAGGGAGGGAAGGGAGTTACATTCCTTCTCTCTCTCTTTCTCTTTCTGTATGTGTATGTGTGTGTGCGTGTCTCCCACAATCCCCCCGACATGTGTATTAATATATACACATACACATATATAGCTATATAGTATATTAATGATATAATTAATGATATATAATATGAAAATATGTGAAAAATATTTACCAGAAGGCCTCACATGGCCAGCCATGGCCCTAGGGAAATCTTGTAAATTCCATACTACTCTACAACAATTTTGCACAATTATGCCCAAACCAAATCACACATTTGGTAGCCAGAAAAGGGGGTGGTAGTGGTGCTACTGTAGACCCAACAGCTCCCAATTACATGTTATCTACTTAGTCTAAGTAGTTATCTACTTAGAATACAAGGTAAGTATTCTCACATCATGTAGATGAGGAAACAGGCTTAGATGTTAAATAACTTCACCAATGCCACATAGACAATAAGTGCATAGCTGGGATCTGGACCTCAGTCACAGGTTTCAAACTCCATGTTATTTCACTCTCAGCTATAGGTTGACCCAGATCCTGACGACCTGGGTCCCACCCAGCACCTGTATATACCTGCCAATAGATTCTCACAGGCCAGGTACAGTGGCTTACACCTGTAATCCCAACACTTTGAGAGACCAAGGCAGGTGGATTGCTTCAGCCCAGCAGTGCAAGATTAGCCTGGGCAACACGGTACAAAAAAGTAGCCTTGTGTGGTGGTGCTCTCCTGTAGTTCCAGCTACACTGGAGGCTAAGTTGGGAGGATCGCTTAAGTCCAAGAGGTCGTCAAGGCTGCAGTGAGCTAAGACTGCACCACTGCACTCCAGCCTGGGTGACAGAGTGAGAACCTCTCTCAAACACATACACACACACACACACACACACACACACACACACACACACACACACGTGTTTCTCACAAAATATTGCCATTATCTGTATTTAGGTGAATGTCTCTTTCCCTTGACTGTGAGCCTCTCAGGATGGTGACCTTGACATGTTCATTCCTGAGTCCCCTGCACCAAGATGGTATCTGCCATGAACCTTTTCCTCAGAAATACTTGTTAATTAACTAAAGGATGAGTGAAAAATTTCAAAATGTAGACTTGAGATTTGCATCATTTTCCATTAAACATTGATTCTGAAACTAACCAACTTCACTATGGATATCAAGATTTATGAATTTCAGTTGCCTCCTCCTTTGTTAATTATTGAAATAATTCCTCTGTTTTATTTGGAAATTAACTCTTAATATTTATGCCAATGGGAAGCAACCTGTGCCCTTCCTAAAGAAAATGAACTGTTCTTTGGAATTTTCAGCCAAGCTAGTTTCCTCCTGGATTATCAAGAGATTCCAAATGTGTATGTCTCTTCAATAACTCCCTCATTCCCAGCATGCTTCCAAGGATTATTAGCTGGAAGAAAATTTGTTGTTACTTGAGGGAGGCAGAATTCCAAGGTGTCCAGCCAGATCCCATCATGACTTGGTTTTCGCAGACTGTATAATCCTAAGACTGTAAATATGCAGCAGCCTCACTCTCCTAAATAGGTTATTTGGTCTGACCTAATCTCACAAGCCCTTTAAATCTGGGTCTAGAGGTCAGAGACAAAGGAAAATTCAGAAATTCAATTCAACTCTCAAGCTAGAGAGTTTTGACACAAGATAAATTATCTGGTGCTGGCTTTGAAGATGGGAGAGGCTTTGTGCACTAGCAATTCTGATGGTGTCTACGTGCTTAGTGTCTACATTCAGATGGTAAACTCACAGCCTGAAAGAAAAGCAGAAACATCAGTCTGATGACCCAAAGGAATTGAAATCAGACAATAACCTACATGAACTTGAAAGGGGATCATTCCCCAGAACCTGCAGAAGAGAAAGTAGCCCTGTAGAAGTTTTGACGGTAGCCTTGCAGACTCTGAACAGACAACCCTGCCAAATCTGAACTTTACAAAACTGTTAGCTAAAGCAATGGATGTTGTTGTTGGTAATTGGTTATGCGGTGACAGAAAAGTAATGAAATGCTTTGTAATGGGTCTTGTACAAAAAGCTGAATTTAAAAAGGTTTTGAAAGAAAATAAATTTTATTCTGTGACAATATTTATTCCTTTCAAAAATTTAATTTATATATGGCCTATTTTATTTTTCAGGCATATATACATGCATTTGGACTCAACAGCTAGTCTGTAGCTTTGACTCCGAGAAGTGGAAGAATTTGAATCTGAAGTAGAGTGTCGTTTTACTGTAGAATAAGGACAACTAAATAAAGCAATCATCTTCACCCTATAATCTGTAATATAGATTCCCAAGATGTTGATTGGTGTTAGTTATATTTGAAAAGATAAAACGTAGTAAATATTAGCAGTTGCTTGCTACACATAAGGAAGTGCTTTCTTTCCTTCTCATCTTTGAACTACTGAATTTTTTGCAAAGAGAAGTTTCCACTAAAGTCTGCCATACTTTGGAGATCAGAGTGTAAAAGTTATACAGATTATAAATACTATCAAAGGTCATTCTCTTAGCTAACTTTCATGAGCCCAAATGCCAATAGTTCTACAAATAGAGTCTAAAAATCTTTTCCACATGTACACAAAAAGTCAGATTTATTGTAAGGAAGAGGCTGATTTCTGGTTATTAATAGTTAACAGTATTTAGTGAAGAAACAGAAGCCAGTGGTCACATACATTTAGTAAGAATGAAATTTATTTCTTCAAAAGTGTGATTAGTGAATTTTTGTAAGGAAATACATCATACAGGAATATTGTTTCACAAAATAAGACATTTTGTGTATTTTCATTATCTTTTGCAGGATGCAATATTGAAATAATTTGATTTGTTCTTGTTACAATAAGGAAGTAATAAATTTGCCAAAATATTTATATTTGGAAACTGGATATCTTATATATTGAAATATCAGCTTTTTACTGCTTATCAACCATAGCCATAGGAATTTATATCCTTACCACAGTGAGTACACATTTGCCAGCTGGAAAAAAAAAAGTTGGATTGTTTTTGGATCGTTTTTTGAAATTTTTTTGGTTACATATAATTTCTGTTTTAAAGTTAGGGAGTAACTGTTAGTTTTCATGCTAGGAAATAATTATTTCTCGTGAGGCTAAATTATTACTGCTCCAGCAAAGTTGTACTAATTTATTTAAACAGGACAATGAGTTTATTGAATCGTCATTCAGAATTAACATTGCAGTAGTGATTTCCAAAGTCTTTGAGAATGTCTGCTTCAGTACAAACCCAGAAGAATAAATTAAAGGGACTATAGACATATTTTGGAGACTTTTCAGCATTGCCGATTTTGTTTTCTTTCAAGTTTTTCTGTCTTTGTTTTCTTCCAATTTAAATTCCAGAGCAGAAACCTCCCTCACAAATATTCCTAATTCTAAAGTCCCTTTATGAATCATCGTTCTTCTCGTAGTAACCTCTTTATTCTTTCACATTATTTGTTTTTTTTTTAATTTTAACCTCATGCCTTTTAATGCTGAGATTATTCCTTTAAGATTTCCTCTTATAGTTTTTCCTTTTTCCTTATAAAGCAGAAGTGATATTCTAGGATACTTTCTGGGCCATCAAGATTCATCTCCATGCTTCCCAAGCATCATCAAATTTCTGGTCAGGTTTCCATTCTCTTTCTCCTCCCAAATACCAGGAGCATTTATGTGATTGCTCCTTTAACAGGGAACTTCTTATTCCTCTAACCCTCTCTTTTTGTAGTCATCAGCCCTTTAAGCCTTTTTCATCTAACCAAGAGTCCAAGGCCACTCTAGTGAGCCAGGTCTATATAGTACCCAGCTTTCTTTGATCTCGTAATACTGAAGCAAAATTTACAACCTGGATTAAAGGTGCTGCCTCCTATACTAAGGCTTTGCTGAGTCTTATCAACTGCTAGAACTAGGTGTCTCTTCCTCCTCTGTTTCCTTGGCTAGTCTATAAGTAATTTATCCAGGACGGGGATGACAAGCATATGCCAAACCAGTGGGCAGCACACAGAAATTGTTCAATCAGTGCAGAATGAATAAATAAATGAACAGATGAATGAATACACAGTAATTTTATTACTGTTCTTATCTCATTGGTGTTATTTTGACAAAATAACCAGTCATATTAATCTATAAGTTTTTCTATCTTTATATCTTCCAGCATATATATTTTCTATTGTATTATTTTTCTGTTATATATATTTTACATATGTTATATATTTAGATATCTTTTACATATATCTAATTGATCTATACAATACATTAAATAGTATATATAGTATTCTGACCTTGTTAGATCATAATATTACGTTTTGATATTCATCTTACTTAATTTTCATGAAAATATCTACTTGTTTAATGTGGTATCTTGGATTCCAGGGCCAAATACCTTGATGTACTCCGAATGTGGAACTATGGTTGACTTAGTCTCATACTTTCACTCTGATCCTAAGAAAAGGGTGATAATAGTTCTAACAATAGTAATGATAGTAATACTTTTATTTTATTAATTAATTTTTTTTTTGAGACTGAGTCTCGCTCTGTTGCCCAGACTGGAATGCAGTGGTGTGATCTTGGCTAACTGCATAAATGCTCCTGAGTAGCTATGATTACAGGTGCCCACCACTGTGCCTGGCTAATTTTTCTATCTTTTCAGTAGAGTTCGGGTTTCACCATCTTGGCCAGGATGGTCTTGAACTCCTGACCTCGTGATCCACCTGTCTCGGCCTCCCAAAGTGCTGGGATTACAGGTGAGAGCCACTGTGCCTGACCAACAGTAATAATTTTAATAATAATAATTGCATTAGTTTATTGAGCAGTTTCCCTAGGCCAGGCACAACATTAAATGGATTAGATAGATTATCCCATGTCATCCTAATTGACCATTTAAGTCTATTGTTTTTATTTTGTAGATAAGAACACTGAGATACAGAGAAGAAAATTCACTCTGTATAAATTTGGTAGTGTCTAGACATTGATTTCTAGACCTAGACATCTGTACTCCCCAAGCACATGCATTAAAATGTCACACCACAAGGCTGTCATTCGGTCTAACACAGTATTTTGAATTGTGTTGTAAACAGCCATCTAAATGTCTCTCATCTGTTTTCACCCGAGGGATGCAAACATTCTTGAACTGATATTCTGCTTCTTTTCCTTTCCATACACTGCAGTGATGATAGTGGTTTCGAGATTCCTCATCAAAATATGTTTCTGAGATTTGTTTTTATGCAAATTAAGTAAAGGGCATAAGAGTATATGTTATCATTAGTATAAATACCTTCATATTAACTCTTTGAAATTGCCAATTGACAAATTATACTAATATTCATGTATATGAAATACCAGTTATCATATTAAGCAAATAATTATTCTAAATTTATTTGAGAATAATAAATAGTTTGATGTAGGGTCTTAGAAAAATTGAATACTTTATGCCTGTAATTATTTTACATATTTCTTATATCAATTACTACTTTTTAACACATTCCTATCAATTTCGAAGCCTGGTTTCTTTCCTAAATGTCATCTCACTTCAAAAAGCTAATATTAGTTTTACATCTAAAGACAATCAATATAACAAATTTTATTTAGAAGAACTGTAGTATAAAACAGATGTTTTACAAAAACTAACTCTAATGAATTTTGAAATTTAGTATTCTGATCAGTGGAGAACTGGAAATCTGTATAAATTTATTTAGGATAGAAAATTCTTTATATTTTCTTTCTCTTATTCTTAGAGCTATTTATTTATTTATTTGAGACAGAGTCTCACTCTGTCACCAGGCTGCAGTGCAGTGGTGAAATCTTGGCTCACTGCAGCCTCTGTCTCCTGGCTTCAAGTGATTCTCCTGCCTCAGCCTCCTGAGTATGTGGGACTACAGGCACACACCACACACTCAGCTAACTTTTGTATTTTTAGTAGAGATGGGCTTTCACCATGTTGGCTTGGATGGTCTCAATAACTTGACCTAGTGATCTGCCTGCCTCAGCATTCCAAAGTGCTGGGATTACAGGTGTGAGCCACCATGCCCGTCTCTTCAAGCTTTTTTAAACTCATAGATCCAAAACATCAAGTTTGTGATTCCATAAATTATAGCTAAATTTCATTGTTGTGTTTTTATTATATTTTCTATCTTTGCCTTGAAATATAGTCATGATTTCTCTTATATTTATTTCTTTCATCTATAAAAATGGGTATATGCACTTCCATAAATTTGCAGTGGTTAATTGAGAAATGTAAGTCAGTCATTTCACATACCAACTGTTATGAGTGAATCATGTATATTTTCCCTTTTTGGTGAATACACAGAAGATCTTTCATTGAAGTCTCCTTCCTAATTTATCTACAAAAGATTATAAAATTGTTCCTCTCACTGTGGGCTACAAAGATGTATCAGAGTAGTACCATGTTTCTTTCCTTCATAATATAGACTAGACAACCACACAGAAATTGACAAGATGAGATGGAAGAAAGCTTAAATCAATTTCCCTTTCACGCAGGCCACCTTAATAGGTCTCCATACCCACACTGGAACTGAAGATGAGATTTTTTTATATTGTGTGATAGTAAAAAGAAGAGTGATAGTGCAATAATAACAAATATATAATAGGAAATGCACAATAAATTAATATATAGAAGCCAGTGACTCTTTGAATAGATATTCTTCAAACAGCAAACAGCAAGAGATGAATAGATTGCCCAAATCATGTGTGCTTATTTCTCTCCCTGCTTTGTATAAGTGTGTAAATATGACAAGAAGTAGAAAAGTGTTTGTGTTTCCCTCATATTCACTCTGTCTTCCTTCAGATGCTGATAGTCCAAAAACCTTTCCAAACTATATGTTCATAGTTGTTTGTTTGTTTATGGTCATTATAGAATATTGGAAACCAGTGATACTTCAGCCAACAAACTAACAATGGGCATTTGACGTACTTCAGAGGAAAGTCAGTGGAAATGTCAGTCATCAACCTTGGGATGACTTCAGCTTGTTGACTACCATGAGCATGATTCCAAGTGTTCAAATTACTTGGATGGAAAAGGAAGGGGGTATCGCAGAAAGAGTGTTGTACTGAGTACTAGAAGAGCGTGGTCTTGGCAGCAGCACATTTAAGGTGTGACTTGCAGGAATTTGTTTGGATTTCTGTATCTCAGTTTCCTCACCTGTAAGTTAGGAAACAACAAGAGCCTTGATTTTTCCCAGTGGTCTACTCTGGTGCTGTTAGTCTGAATATTTTAGGATGGGGCCATTACTTGAACTTGTATAAAAAAGTAATGAGATTTAGTACTTTAAAGGAAAGCAGATGGATGATCTATAAATTGATTTTTTTTTTACATATAGAAATATCGTGTTAGGTCAAGGCATGGATTTTATATGAGGGAAAACACAGTTTAAAAGAAGTTTGTAAGTATATTGTAAATTGCCTCAGATGGTCTGGATGTTTTCCAGTTTGATTAAAACTTGAGCTAAAGATAAGGAACTGGGATAGTGTTTTAAAATGAGAGATACCTAAAAGATGAAGAACATAATGTGGCTCTTGCCCACTGGGGTTTTACTATCAAATAAAAGAGGCAGCAGGGTGAGGTGGTTCAGGCTTGTAATAGCTGTTTGGGAGGCCAAAGTCAAGGGATCACTTGAAGTCAGGAGTTCTAGACCAGCCTGGGAAACATGGTGAAAACTCATCTCTATGAAAAATACAAAAAACACTGGGTGCGGTGTTATAATTCCAGCCTATAATTCCAACACTTTGAGAGGCCAAGGTGGGTGGATCATTTAAGGCCAGGAGTTCGAGAACAACCTCACTAACATGGTGAAACCATGTTTCTACCGAAAATATTTTAAAAGTAGTGGGGTGTAGAGGCAGGCACCTGTAATCCCAGCTACTTGAGAGGCTGAGGCAGGAGAATAGATTGAATCCAGGAGGTGGAGGTTGCAGTGAGCTGAGATCATGCCATTGTACTCCAGCCTGGTTAACAAGAGTGAAATTCCATCTCCAAAAAACAAACACACAAACAAACAAAAAAGCTGGGCATAGTCGAATGCGCCTGTGGTCCTAGCTACTCGGGAATTTGAGGTGGGAGGGAGAGATTGCAGTGACCCGTAATTGCACCACTGCACTCCAGCCCGGGAAACAGAATGAGACCCCATCTCACATACTCACAAAAAAGGCACAAAAATGCTAACACATGATAAAATATGTTGCTGCTGTGAAGAAAACAGGAAGTCATGCTGGGGATGACTAACAGACAGATATTTCTTTGTCAGGGATACAAAACAGTGACAGGAAAAGGAATGGGGGAAAGGTGTTGGTCAGAGGGAAAGGCAGTCAAATGACAATTCATTATTTGGGATCAGTGTGGTTGAAATGGAGTCCATGGGGTAGGCTGCCGTTGGGTAAGGATGGAGACTAAGCATACCCAGTCTGTGAGTGGCCATGTCTTATGCATCAGGGTAGACTTTGCATGTTGCTAAGTAGTCAATAGACCGCTCAAGAGGAGGATGGAAGCCCAGGGAGCCTGGTCCACAGTGCAACTTAGAGAGGGTGACCTTGCCCAGGAGATAGGTCAGAACAATTTCACCCAATGTAATGAGTAATTCTGGAGGCAGAGCTAGGGCTGAGAAGATCTGGAGACTCACTTGTGTCAAAGGACACAGGGCAGGATTGGGAAGCTATTACTTACTTCAAAAAAACATTTAAACGAAACATTTGATAGGCAAATCCAATATTATGGGCTTAACTTTTACCACAACCATTCCCCATTTCCAACAAGAACTCTTTGATTCTTAAAAAATATTCATCCTATGTGAATGTATTCTAATTTCCTTTTATCCAGGAGAAACTGTCATAGAATTGTAAATTTTGGAGATTGCTGTGTTAGCAGCAGGCAGCAAAGATCTCGCCTAATGGGTCGACAGTAACACTGTAGTCATAATCCCGTCTTCTCACACATCTGTTTGTTTAGTACCTCAAGAGCTGAGGAAGTTTAAAAATTGTCACACATTGTTGCTTTGTCTTATGCACTTATTTGAGAATGAGACTCTCAGCAAGATTTTATTGAAAAGATCTGTCCAAGGAATTGACTGCCAACTTAACTCAAAATTTAGCAATTAACCTTCTCTCCCTAATGTGGGAATGATGGCATCCACCTGTTGAGAACTCATTGTCACTTTGACACGTCTCATTTAAGGTAAAGAGTTTAATTCTGTCTTTTGGACTCATGTATTGCTTGTCATATCATAAATGCCCAACAAATTCTAAAGCTCTAACTTAAGAAGGTAGCTAGGATGGTGGTGAAGACAGTGGGGTTTGGAACCATAGACTTTGAGATTTGAATCTGAGCTCTGCATATCATTGTGTGTCATTGGGAAGTATAACTGGTAAACCCAATTTATCTATTTGTAAACTTGAGAGAATAACACTTACCTCAGAAATCTGTTATCAGCATGAATGTAGAAGTGTTTTCAAACAATTAGCATAGTGTGAGGCACTGAGAAGGTATTCCATGCTTGTGGACTGTTCTTCTTCTTAAATAGTTAATTTACATAAACAACTTTATGACATGTTACATGCATGAGTAGATAGGAAATGCCCTGATTTTTTTTTACAGATACCTTATTTACTTAAGGCTTTCCTTCTTTCCTTTACTTAGTGGATGATAATGATGATACCAAGTTAGCTAAAGACAAGTATTACAGCTGTTGCCAAAGAACACCATGGTACAACAGTACACTTAAATTAATATGTAACAACATGTGTATGGTAACATAGCTGTGTTACGTGAACATATCACCCTGCTTAGCGCACAGTCTTATCACCATGAAAAAAGCATTGCCCTCAGGTGGATAGTTGCTCAAGACCCCTGCAATTTTGAGGTTTACATTATACCCCAATAAGCTTCATTTAATTCCCCTGTAACCTGGTACTAGAAAACAATTTTATCAAGGAGAATAATGTGGGAATAGAGAAAATCCTCAGTGTTACCCAAACATTGGAGTTGTTTGAATGTGTCGAAAGCCTGGGGGTATTTGAGGGATTCTGGAAATGGATGGCATTCTCCAGGATGTGCATCTAAAATCTGGAGTCTGCCTGTGGCAGGTGAGTGGATGCTGGGGTCAAACAATCAAGGACAGATGCATAGGAGCGTGAGTTTGTGCTATCCTCTGCTCTGGTGGGAAGGAGGGAGAAATCTCATTCCTCCATCCATTCGTTTGTTCATTCAACACAAATTGTGGACGAACTATGTGTCACACCGTGTTACAGACACTGAGGATACAGATCTGGATAAGAAAATCAAATTGCCTGCCATTAAGCAACTTAAAGTCTTTGTGCTACCTTAGATGCGTACCTTAACACGGATGACAGCAAGACCTTGCCCTGGTTAAAAATACCTGCCTGGGTATCTATAAGAATACATGTATCAAACTAACCCTCCTGTGCAAGACAGGCCAATTAATACTAAGAAAAAGCAGCAAGGGCAAGATCAAAATTCAAGGGAAGAAATTAAATTTAAATTAACTCTCTTTTAAACTACCTTTTGGGGTAGGGATGCAGAAGTGTATTTTAAGCTTCAACTGGACCATTTCAAACTGTTACATTTGGCTAATGAAGTAGCATTCCAGAGGGAGAAAATCAGAGCTTAGTTTCGTGTGCAGATCTTGGAGTCGGAACAAAGAAATAATAAACGGATAAAGAAATAAATATCCATAGAACGTTTAAAACATTTACAGAAATATTGACAACTACAAAATGAGAGAATTTTAAGAAATAAAATATAAAGGAACCTGTGGTGTTTCTGTTAAAGGATTGGATTTGCCATTTTATACAGAAGATTTAACTCGCCTCATTGTTCCCGAGGAAAGTGATTATATTTTAAGTCCGAAAAGTACAAAACCAAATATATCTCTGAGGTGCTAATTGGACGAAATGATAAGATACTTACAAATAAAAGTATTATATTATACTGAACTACATGATAGACTATTCTTTAAATGTCGTCATTGATGAATAGGGCTCCAATCATAAAGCAAAGAGAATTTGTTTGAGATTATGCTATACAAATATAATTTTCAGAAACAAATCTCGTATTTTAAGATAGTAGCATACATAATATAATGATATCTGTGATATGTGCAATTGCAAATATGCAGTATTTGCATATTCATGGTTTCAAAAAATGCCATAACTCTGTGGAAAAAATAGAATTTGACCAGTAATTGTTGGAGAGTCTAGGTCTCTTCCTCATTGTCTCTCTCCCACCATGTCAGTGTTGTGTTTCTTTTACCCTTGAAGTTTTTTACATTTTCTCACACCTATGCATCCTGATGAGTAAGGTATCACTTGGTTTGCCTGATTGTAAATTTTACGTAAATATGTCTTCTTTGCACCTTGCTTTTTACTGCACTCTACAGATTTGCCCATGGTGTCGTGGGTGCTGGTAGTTCATGCATTTTTTTCTTTTTTTCACTGATGCCTCCTGCTCCATCATTTGAATATGCCACAGGGAATTTACATTTTCTCCTGAGAACATTTGCAGAGTTTGCAGGGTTTTCTTCTGCGAACATATAGCTAGGGACATTGTCATAGGAGTCTCCTGGTGTGGGTGCGCACGTGGTTTCTTGGGCGGTCACAGAAGGGAAATGACTGGGTTGTGGGATTGGAACATCTTCAACTTCATAATGCTGAAGAACTTTCCAAAGTACTTGGGTAAATTTACATTCCAACTGGCGATATGTAATCCATTGCTCCACATATTCAGCAAAACTTAACATTTTCCTAATTATTTTGGTGCTGTTGTTGCAAATCTGGTGAGTCTGAAGTTTGCATTTCCCTGATAAAGGCATTATCAGCACTTACCACTTAGTCTGCTCTTCGATTAAATGCCTCTTCATGTCGCTAGCATATTTCTCTATTGGTGGTTTGTCTGTTTTCTTACATATTTTATTTCTGAATCTATTTGAATACTAATCTGTTAGTTGTGTGTATTAAAATCATGTTCTCCCACTTTGTGGCTCATTTTATTTTTTCCCTATAGTGCCCTTTGATGAACAGAATGCTTAGTTTTATTGTTATGTTGATCAGTCCTGTTTAAGACATATTTAAACAATTTTAAGAATTAAAACACCATTTAAATAATTTCCTTTGATTTATTATGTGAATTGTAAAGCTGTATCTTTTTACATTAAAATTTTTTTTTTTTTTTTTTGAAACTGAATCTCACTACTGTCACTCAGACCAGAGTGTGGTGGTCTGATCTCAGTTCACTATAACTTCTGCCTCCAAGTTTAAAGCGATTTTCCCACCTCAGCATCCTGAGTAGCTGGGATTACAGGTGCCTGCTACCATGCCCAGCTAATTTTTGTATTTTTAGTTGAGACAGGGTTTCACCATGTTGGCCAGGCTGGTCTCGAACTCCTGACCTCAGGTGATATACCCATTTTGGCCTTCCAAAGTGCTGGGATTACAGGTGTGAGCCACTGCACCTGGTCTACATAAAAATCTTAAATCTGTTTTTCATTGACTTTTTTAGTATATTAGCATGTATAGATTCAATTCTTTGTTTCATGTAAAATAGCTCTTTTAATACCTGCTATTGAGCAGACTGTCGTTTGTCTCATAAGCTGCAATACCATATTTACCTTGCGTCAGTTTTTCACATATGTGTAGTCTACTTCTGAGAAATTGGGGAAGAATTACAGCTTAATGATTTTGAGTGTTCTCATTCATGATCTTGATAGCCATTTATTTAATCCTTTAAAAATATTTTTTAATGAAATTTAGACATTTTTTCTTAAAGGTTTTATAATATTCGTTGTTTTATTCATTGCTAGGTGCCATAGAGTTTTTATTGCTCTTGGAAATGTTCTTTTATTTTTATTTTTTTCTTTTTTTGAGATGGAGTTTCGCTCTTGTTGCCCAGGCTGGAGCACAATGGCACGATCTCGGCTCACTGCAACCTCCGCCTCTCAGGTTCCAGCGAATCTCCTGCCTCGGCCTCCTGAGTAGCTGGGATTGCAGGCATGCACCACCATACCTGGCTAAGTTTTGTATTTTTAGTAGAGACGTGGTTTCAGCACATTGACCAGGCTGATCTAGAACTCCTGACCTCAGGTGATCCACCTGCCTCAGCCTCCCAAAGTGCTGGGATTACAGGTGTGAGCCAACATGGCTGGCTGGAAATGTTTGTTTGTTTGTTTTTTTAAAATAAGAGAGGTCGTCTAAGAATTTCTGTGTTATGTAGAAGTGCAGTTGATTTTTTTTGTATTGACCTGATACTAAGCAAAGTTACTAAACTTTCTAATTGCCTCTAGTACTTTGTAGACTTCTTTAGGGTTTTTATATAAGCAAACTGTGAAAATTGCTCTATTAGGTCTTCTTCTAAAATCTTATTATTTTTGTTTTGTTTTGTCTTTTTGTACTGATAAGAAATGGGGGAGAGTAGACAATCTTTTTTAGTTAATGGAATTACATTAATCTTTATCATTTAAAGAACTGCTGCAAGGCTTAAAAAAAACTCTATTGAGATCTAAATCAAATGTCATGTAGTTCACCCATTTAAATATAAAATTCAGTGGTTTTTAATATATTCTCAGATTCTCGTAACCATCACCACAGTCCATTTTAGAACATTTTCATCACCCCAAAAGAAACTCCAAATTCTTCCAGCCCTAGACTTTTCTGTCTCTATGTGTCCATTCTAGACATTTCATGTACATGGAATCATATAATATATGATCTTGTATTATTGGCTTTTGTCACTTAGCATAATGTTTTCAAGGTTCATCGATGTTGTGCCAAATATAAGGACTTTATTTTTCGTTGCCAAACAATATACCGTTGTATGGATTAACCATACTTAATGACCTAAGTATGTGTGGGTGTATGTGAATAAGTATGTATGGAGAAATGCTTCAATGACATAAATCCATTTGTCAGTTGGTGGACATTTGGATTGTTTCCACTTTTTGAATATTATGAATAATAGCTAAGCAAGCAGAATTGCTTGGTCACTTTATGTTTATTGTAGCTTATTTATTTATCTATTTATTTATTTATTGAGACACAGTCTTGCCCTGTCACCCAGGCTGGAGTGCAATAGCACAATCTCAGCTGACTTCAACTTCCGCCTCCCAGGTTCAAGCAATTCTCCTGTCTCAGCCTCCAAAGTAGCTAGGCTACAGGCATATGCCACCATGCCCAGCTAATTTTTGCATTTTTAGTAGAGGCGGGGTGTGACCAGGCTGCTTGAATTCCTGAACTCAGGTGTTCCACCCGCCATGGCCTCCTAAAGTGCTGGGATTACAGGTATGAGCCACCTTGCCTGACCAAATGTAGATTTTCTATAGGCTCATTTTATCTAGTTTAAGTCATTTTTTTAATTGATTGATTCATTGAGACAGAGTCTCACTCTAACCCAGGCTGGAATGCAGTGGCATGATCTCAGTTCACTGCAACCTCCGCCTCCCAGGTTCAAGCGATTCTCCTTCCTCGGCCTCCCTAGTAGCTGGGATTACAGGTGCCTGCCACCACACCCATCTAATTTTTGTATTTTTAGTAGAAAGGGGAATTTCACTATTTTGCCCAGGCTGGTCTGGAACTCCTGACCTCAAGTGATCCACCTGCCTCAGCCTCCCAAAATGCTGGGATTATAGGCATCAGCCACCATGCCCAGCCCTCAGATCACTCCTTTTAATTGCTAATTTGCTAATTGTTTCATCATAAAGAACTATTCAGTTTTAGTTATTGCACATATCAATAGTTCATTCCTTTTTTTGCTGAATAGTATTCCATTGTGAGGATGTAACACAATTTGCATATTCATTTACCAGTTGATGCACAATTGAATTGCTTATAGTTTTTGCTATTTACAAATAAAGCTACAGTGAACATGTGTTTGTATGATTTAATTGTTACTTAGTTCTTGAGTAAATACCTAGTTGTGGCGTGGTTGTGTCATATGTGTGCATATACTTAACCTTTTAAGAAAACTGCCAAATTACTTCCCAGAGTGGTTGTACTATTTTCTAATCCTATCAGCAGCATATCAGTGTTCTATTAAGTTGTTTCTAATATGCCACTTTGAGCTCTATTTATTCATTTCTAGAAGTTCAATTTGTTCATATTCAAATCTGCCTTGGAATATTGGAAGATCCCTTTATTTTAATTTTAAAGTCTCCTTTATATTTTAAGTATATTATATTTGCTTTTCCCATTTTTTTTGCATTTGATAATTCTACAATCTTCAATCTATTTCACTTTGATTCTATTTATAGCTTTTAATGACAGCCTGCTCACTGAGGCATTTTTTTCTCATGTGTATAAGATTTTTGATTGTGGATTCATGTTCCTTGTAACATATTTATGGGAAATACATGAAGTCGGAGTTTAAGGTATCGTCTCTCAAGAAAGATGTATCTTTCATTCTGCCAAGTACGAGGGCATCTTGCTGACTTAGGACCACTTTGAACTAAATTATTGGTCTGTGTTGGGTAGAGGATCATAAGTAATGTAAACAGGGCTTTAAACCCCATGAGTAAAGACTCTCCTGATTTGAAATGCCTATGACTCTCCTTTATGTTTAGATTGATTTATTAATTCAATGGAATTCCATTAATCTTCATCATTAAAACAACAGCTTTACTGAGATATAATTTATATGCCATGCAATTCACCCATTTAAGTGTAAACTTTAATGGTTTCAGCAGCTCCCATACATACTTATGGCTTTTAATGGAAGTTGACATAATTCACTGTATGATCAATGAATGGATAAAATGCAATAAAACAAGACAAGAAACCATCAGACTAGTTGTCACAAACATGAACTATACAAGCTGTATCAGGTGCTTTTTATCTATAGGTACCTATATGTAGTTAGAAGGAATGTCTTCCACCCTGAAGCCCTGCAGGGTCTCCCTTATGTCAAGGAATGCCTGTATCTGTGGAGAACACTTACCTTAAGTGGAGAGGATACTGCCATGACCTTCCTGATTAGTTCCTGTTATAGTTCCACCAAAGAGATGTAGCAGAGCTTGGACTGTTTGCAGTCTTCATCTGCGTAGAACATGATGAGAGGACCCTGCCCATATTGGCTGTCCCTCAACAATTTTTAAAGCTAGACCTGAAAGGCATGAGGTGAGTTTAACTGCAGTTGACTGAGCAGTCACATAGATGAGAGTTGATTCCACTTACGTGCAATACTCTCTGTTGATCCTGGAGCAGAGGCAGAAGAGGTGCACACAAGTTTATTCAATGACAGACAATCTAGTGTCCTTATATACGTGGCTTGAGATTTTGATGTGAAGATTTGATGTTAATAAATGAGCGTATAACATTCAGAAATGAAGTTCAGGGATATCCTGTGCATTCCACCTCCTGGCCTCCCCAAAAGTGTAGCCTCCTTTTCCTGTTGCTGTGGGTTTTGGGGGACCCACGTAAAGCAAAGGTAGGATGATGCTTTATCAAGGGTTTGTGATTAACAAGAAGTGGCATAGGGCTTCGACTGACAGACAGTTTAAGGGTAAAAATGGAAGTTACTGTCATACATTTATCAAAAAATTGCCTGGATTACATGGACACAGGGAGGGGAGCATCACACAACAGGGTTCGTTGTGGGGGAAAAGGAGAGGGTCAGCAGGGGGTAGGGAGGTTGACGAGGGATAACATGGTTAGAAATGCCAGATACAGGTGATGAGGGGATGGAGGCAGCAAACCATATTGCCTTGTATGTACCTGTGCAACAATCCTGCGTGATCGGCACATGTACCGCAGAACCTAAAGTGCAGAAAGAAAATATATATATATATGAATAAAATAAAAAGAGTGTATAATGACCTTTTCATTTCTTTTAAAAGCACAATTATAATAATTTGACTGGATTATGTGCTTTTTAAAGTTTATTATTAAATACATACATCATTTCACCACCATCTCATTATTTAAATAAGAATGTAGGGGAACATATTTTTAAATGGTAGAGCAGTATGTAAAGGGAAGCTATAGTTGGTATAATAAAACATTTTGCATTACTGGCTGCTATATATCACCAACTTATGTTGGCAGCTATAGTCATCAAATCATTTATTTTAAAACTAATCAGAGTTAATACTCAGATGTCTCATTTTGAGAATGTATCTAGAAAATGAGCAGGAAAACCTGGAATGATTCATTAAAAGGACATTTGAAATAATGAATAGGTAGAGTCATTGTTTTATAATTTTCTGTATTCTAACATTCCCTCAAAAGAAGGTTGTTCTGTGCAAACACGGCGTGTCCGTGCAGCATGATTCAGGGGTAGGGGTTAGAATCTGGCGCAGTTCATTATTGACTGTGTTTGCTGGTCTGAGCTTTGCAGGCATACTCCTGCTTTGCCTCTGAGGTGAATCCCCGCAGGTCATGTTCTTGGCTGACAGAGCCATTTATTAATAATTACATTGTGATTTTTCAACAGGGAAGGGGTGGTGATATTCCTAAGGAGACTTTTTTATTGGGGAGGGCACGAAGCTTTAGATATTGTAGTGGTCTGTGAACCTCCAAAGGCCACAGTGTGCAAACAGATCTATCTGTGCTGGTAAAGTTGCTTGGGGTGAGGGAAGCAATTTGGAATAAAAGTTGGAAAAGGCTCTTTACGGGGTCAATAATGAATAATAGGTTGACTAATCTGGCTTTTGAGGATTAGGAGCATTGTGCCATATAGAACACAGACCACAGGGGTCTGATATGCATTTGGATTAACATGCTCTGAGAAAAGCTTATTGTGGGCAGATAATGCAGTCAATTCAGTTGAGATGTCTTATCTAAATGTTCCCTTAGCAAAGACAAGAAAAAGGTTTCTTGTTCTTTATCGATAGCATTGTATAAAAAATGCAAGTTCAAGTGTGTTTGTCATTCTCTAAGACTAGAAGCTTAGTTAGTCTTTTCCTCTGATTCCCATACGCTTTCCACTAAGTTTCAGCTTCATTTAGAAAGTGTGTTCTGTTCTCTTATGTCCTTTTACGGTGGTGGCCACAGGTGAGGAGATAGAAGAAAGAGGGATGGTGATACTTTCCTAATTGAGATTATGATGAGCTTGGAAAAGAGCTTTGCCTCTGAATGACTTTTCTTTATGGCTACTTACCTTTATTCCAGAAACTGGTACAAAACTGTTAAAAGTAATTTTAAGCATGTTCCAAGAGTGTTTTGCACCAGTGGTTCCTGTATGCTATAATATTAGAATCACCCAGGAAGCTTTCAAAATCACTTATACCTGGTACCAACCTCAGGGAGCCTGATTTGATTGGTCTGCTGGGGGAGCCTAGGGATCCACAGCTCTCGGAGTACTCCAGGTAAGTCTAATATACACCCAGGGGCAGCAGTGTCACTTCATATTGTAAAGGCGCTGCTCTCCTTAGTGGACGGCATCCGCCGCCTATGAACCCTGGGTTTGCTTTGGATCAGACCAAAGGCATAGTATTTTGCAGTCGGGTTCATGGTATTTCTGCCAAAGCCCTGAGTCTATAAGAGACCAATTTATAGCATTTGTCACGTTTAAATAATAACAATAATAGCTGACCATTCACTCAGCCTCTGCCCGTTTAATGCACTTGTTGACGAGTTAGCTTATTTAGCTCTCATACTAGAGGTAAGTGTAAACCCTTATTATTTCCATTTTCAGGTGGATATAGACCAGTAGGAAAGAACCAGGTTAAGATTGCAACGTGATTGGGAGGCTGGAGCGGGCAGATCATCTGAGATCAGGTGTTCGAAACTAACCTAGCCAACATGGCGAAACCCTATCTCTACTAACAGTAGAAAAATTAGCTGGGTGTGGTGGTCAATGCCTATAATCCCAGGTACTCAGGAGGCTGAGGTGGGAGAATCACTTGAACTTAGGAGGCAGAAGTGGTAGTGAGCCAGGATCGTGCCACTGCACTCCAGCCTGGGTGGCAGAGCAAGACTTCTCCAAAAAAAATAAAATAAAATAAAAGATTGCAGCATAAGCAATATGACCTTGAATCTCTGTCATAACCATTTATTCTACTCCTTCTTAGAAATTCCCAGTGGGGTTCCCAGTGACTTCTGGAAAAAATGATTAAGCACTTACAAGGCGTAAAGGAATCTGTAAGATATAAAGGTGAAGGGGAACAGGTGCATCCCTCAGGAGGTCACATACTCCACAGCCTAACAGGGAGTACATGCAATCAAGGGCAATGCTGGCAACTTACAAGTGCCCTGAAGAGGAACTCTGGAGGAGAGAAAGATTCCTGTTAACGGAAGTGAGCAGCAGGAGGGTACACTTTGAATGTAGTTTATTTAGAACTGTGTCAGGTTGTATAGAGCGTCAATTTGTAGAAACATTTGGTAAAATATATGGAATCATTAACTTCCAACCATTTGACCCATCACAATGCTAACTTTGTATATTTGTTTATTTATATTAAAAAAATTTTTTTTTTCCTTTCTGAGACTGGGTCTTGCTCTGTTGCCCATGCTGGAGTGCAGTGGCACGATCTCAGCTCAATGCAACCTCCTCTTCCTAGGTTCAAGCGATTCTCCTGTCTCAGTCTCCTGAATAGCTAGGACTACAGGCACATACCACCACACCCTGCTAAGTTTTTTGTGTATATTTAGTATAGATGGGATTTCACCATGTTGGCTAGGCTGGTCTTGAACTCCTGACCTCAGGTGATCTGCCTGCCTTGGCCTCCCAAAGTGCTGGGATTATAGGTGGGAGCCACCGCACCTGATCCACATTGGTAATTTTAAATGTTTCAGCCACTGAGGTGGAGCCAGGTGGAGGAACATGCATGTGGCAGTACCTTGAAAGCCCAGTGGACATTAATGGCTTCACATCAGCTGCAGAATGGCTGCAAATTCCACTGACCATTGGCAAGACCCATGGCTTGCTGCTTGCATTAGCGTCACCTCAAGATAATCCTTGCAACTGAATGACTGGCTCATCTAGCCCATGGACCTGTACTAATGGTTTTCTAAACAGTAGCAGTACAGAGTGACTGCAATATCAGCAAGCCACTTGTAAACAGCAGGTTATTATAGATGACAAGAAGCTAGGTAGACACCACACTTCATGAGGGTTGAGGGCGCTGTAGCTCCAGTGGGTTGTGGGAAAGACTTAGGGGATTGAATTCACAAAGCAGACATGGGCTGGGCCCTGGGCCTTGGAGATAGGCAAGTTCTTTCCCCAAGCACCAGTCATGTGGAATTCAGATGTGGATATATTCTATCATCAGTCCAAGTAACTTTTCCAAATCAAAGAATACTCTTGACTTGACATTTATACTGTATTTCAAAAATCTCTTATCTCACATTTTGACCTTGGGGAGCATATGGAGAGTAGAGTCCCTGACATTTTTGTCTTTGAGTCCCCTACAGTCTGAACATAGGACACCAGTGATCATTGTACACTTGTGTGTTGAATTGATCAGAAATGTACACCATGTATCTGAGGAGCAACAATTAGTGGCAATAATATTGATGGATCTTAATAGCAATAACTTAGAGATATTTAAAAATTGAATATATGTACTGTACATTATTTTTGTAACAATTATCTGTGGCTTTTTTGGACTCCATTTAACTCTTGTTATAGACATCCAGGTGAAAAATCTTATTAGTGTCCTGAAAAACTATTGAGAATTGTTTATGAGAACTTTGTCATTAAAAATAACATCCTGTGAATAGTTGGAGAGCTCTAGAAAACAGAAAGCAGCAACCCGAGTGTTTCAGCTGGTCTGATTAGGAAAGAGCTCTTCACAAAAAAATAATAACTCACAAGACAACAAGAAATAGATTACTTACATTTCTCTTCATTAAACATCTGTATCTCAAGGAGAATGTCTTTGAGTGATGATGGAATATATAGAATATTATAAATAAAGTTTCTCGATTGCCATGTTACTGGGTTTCTGGGCAGTTAGGGAGTGTTGTGAAACCAGTGGAAGCAGCAGCAATTACCCCTTGGGATTAAGATTGGAAGAATAATTATTATGATCAATCTCCTTTTGCTCTGTTTATACAACATTCTTTGCTTTGATATGCTAAGAATGCACAGTGGCTACTGGTTAACTGAGCAAACTGTTAGTTTAACAAAAGGGTTGAATGAGTCAAATTACAGCCGTGCTTCCTTTTAATGGGAATTACTCATTGATGGAAAATTATTACACAACAGACAGAGGTTGGTGTGTTTTGCTGAGTGTCTTGCAAAGATTCATAGCTTATTTGTTCTTCTTCCTTCCTACCACTCTTCTATTAGATGAACATCCTGACTTCTAAACTATTCTAATAAAATTGGAACCTAAGTGTATCTAATTTCTGTATAATTCAAGGGTATGGTTAATCAGCCCGTCCTGGAGAAGTAGTTGGTATATGGACAAAATGCTAGTTTGCTATTTAAGAATGAAGTATTAATAGGAAGGGAATGAATGAATGGTCAAATCCAAAGTGACATTCATGCAGGAAGAGTTTCTTTAGGTTGAGTCCATGGTGAATCTACCTAAGGGTATACAGGATCTCGTATTGCTTGGGAATAATTCTAGGAGCACTTCAGGTCAATCAAGAGGAAGAGTTTCTTTAGGTTGAGTCCATGGTGAATCTACCTAAGGGTATACAGGATCTCGTATTGCTTCGGAATAATTCTAGGAGCACTTCAGGTCAATCAAGAGAATCTTAAGTGTGATTAGTGAGCTCAAAAGCAGTACTTATGATTCCATACTCCGTAATATTATTTTCCAGGAGAAAATAATGAAGAAATGTATATAAAATAGTTTGTGAAGAGGTATTTTATTCAGTTTGCTTTTCGTGTATTTTTGTATGTGATGCTAAGATATGTTTGTCATAATCCTTTCTACTAAAGCTTCTACTATACTTTAAATATATATGCTGCTTTCTTCTTACTCTTGGGAAGAGTCCCTGCTTCTGAATTCCACCATACAAAAGTGCCCACTCCCCAACCTAAGTGAGAATGTCTTTCTTGTTTTATCATTGAATTTATTTTCCATGTAAAAGCAGGGTAGAGAGGAAATTTAAAAAAAAACGGAATTTCACAATTGTTACCCAGGCTGGAGTGCAATGGCGCGATCTCGGCTCACCACAACTTCCGCCTCCTGGGTTCAGGCAATTCTCCTGCCTCAGCCTCCTGAGTTGGGATTACAGGCACCCGCCACCACGCCCAGCTAAATTTTTGTGTTTTTTAGTAGAGATGGGGTTTCACCATGTTGACCAGGATGGTCTAGATTTCTTGACCTCGTGATCCACCCGCCTAGGTCTCCGAAAGTGCTGGGATTACAGGCTTGAGCCACAGCGCCTGGCCCTGGAAATAAAATTTTTAAGTTAACTATTGATGCCTGTAGGGTATTAATGCTCAACACAAAAGAATCCTACAATACCTGAGAATAGATGAATTTTGCAAACGATGAGTTGGACAATGTATATAAATTCTATTCAAACCCATATTTTTTTTTCAAATAAGATTTTTAACACTAATTTCTCTTCTTAGTTGTATAAGGAGTTAAAGAACAAAAAGGATAATTTTAACATTATTTTTCAGATATGTGGTTTATCAATCAGAGAAAGAATTTTGTTTCAGAGTGCCCCAATACAATACAGATTATGAACCAACATTGAAGACGCTTGGGTCATCTTTGAGTAGTGCTTTATAGCTGTGAACCAGCCTTTCCCAAATTTGTCAAGTTAGTTAATACATGAAACAGAACTGGACATCCATTAGGAATTCATATCTATAAAAAGAGCCAATGGTATCTTCTGCTTGTGGTTTGTAAAATTGAAATTTCAGCAGAATGATTAGTAAAGACTAATTGTCGCCTCCTTCCCCCACCTCCTCGGCCTGCTGCCTTCAATTTCTGATTCACTTGGTCTTGGATGGGGCACAAAAACTTGTATTTTAATTCCCTGGTGGATACCAATACTGTGGATCTGGAAATCCCACTTTGAGAATGACTGTTGTAACCTATTAAATGCATTTTACTTATTTATTAAAAATTTTTGATTCTTTATTTTAATAGGTTTTTAGGGAGCAGGTGGTGTTTGGTTACATATATAAATTCTTCAGTGGTGATTTTTGAGATTTTGGTTGCCCATCACCTGAACAGTGTACACTGTACCCAATGTGTAATCTTATCCCTCCTCCCCCCAATGCTTTCTCCTGAGTCCCCAAAGTCCAATGTGTTATTCTTCTGCCTTTGCATCCTCATATCTTAGCTCCCACTTACAAGTGAGAAACTACAATGTTTGGTTTTCCATTCCTGAGTTACTCTACTTAGAATAATAATCTCCAGTATCATCCAGGTTGCTGCAGATACCATTATTTTGTTCCCTTTTATGGCTGAGTAATATTCCATGATAAATATATACCACATTTTCTTTGCCCACTCGTTGATTGATGGGCATTTTGGCTGATTCTACATTTTTGCATTTGCAAATTGTGCTGCTGTAAACGTGTGTGCAAGTATCTTTTTTGTAGAATGATTTATTTTCCACTGGGTAGATACATTAGAAAATTGGCCAGGTGCAGTGGCTCACACCTGTAATCCCAGCAATTTGGGAGGCATAGTTGGGAGGATCACTTGAGGCCAGGGCTTCCAGACCAGCCCGGGCAACACAGGGAGAACCCATCTCTACCAAAAAATTAAGAAGTCAACTGAGTGTGCTGGCTGTGCCTGTAGTCCCAGATCCATGGGAGGCTGAAGTGGGTGGGTCATTTGAGCCACTAGTTCAAAGCTATAGTGGGCTATGATAATGCCACTGAACTTCAGCCTGGGTGACAGAGTGAGACTTTGGCTCTACAAAATGAAAAATAGAAAATAAATATAAAATAAAAGAGTTAACATGTATTGAGTGCTTACTATGGATTAAAAATAGAAAAGTAAAAGAGCTAACATTGTTGAGCACTGACTAAGAGCTTTTCTAAATACTTTACATAAAGAACTGCACTTAAATCTATAACAAGTCTGTGAGGTTGGCCTTGGTTTTAGCCATGTTTTACCGAGGAGGAAAGTTCTGGTTTTAGCCCCTTTTTTATAGTTGGAAAAATGGAAAGTCAAAGCATTCAAGACCCTTTTCTAAGTCACCTGGGATGACTAGAAAGTGGCAGATCTGGGATTTATACCTAGTATAGGTTCAAACCTCATGCTTGTAACACCAGGGAAAAATAGATCTTTGTAAGTTAACTCTTTTGTATGTTTACTAATTGTATAATTTTCCCACTGTACATTTTTATATGTTGCCAATTCTACTTTTCTGAGCTATGTCATGTATAAAATACCACACTTTTAATAATATTCCATGTGATTACAGATGGAGTCATACACTTAGTTTTCCTTCAATCTATAAATACTCAAGAAATAAACAAGGAACAAGTTACTACCTAAAAGATTACACTTGTAAAAAAAAATCTCCTTGTTATAATGGACAGTAAAGAAAACAAGGCCAGAAATTTTATAGTTAGCATGATACTACCTATAAGAAAAAATTATATATGGAAACAAACAAATTTGAAAAGTTAGTATCCCATACTGCTAACATCCACAAGAGAAAGGGATATATAATATTTGGGAGTATTTTGAAGCACATTTTACACCAGATTGTGGGCTGCTTCTTTAACAAGAACTGGAGGCAGTATATTTGACTAGAGTGAGAAATGAATCATTTTATTAGAATTCCTTTTGCATTTTAAATCAGTGCAGATAAGTGACTGTTCCATAAGAAGTCTCTCCCTCTCTCTCTCTCTCTCTCTCTCTCTCTCTCTCTCTCTCTCTCTCTATCTGTCTATCTAGAGTCTTGCTTTGTTGCCCAGGCTGGAGTGCAGTGGTGCAATCCCAGTTCACTGCAACCTCTGCCTCTTGGGTTCAAGTGATTCTCCTGCTGCAGCCCCCAGAGTAGCAGAGATTACAGGCACCTGCCACCACGCCTGGATAATTTTTTTTGTTTTTAGTGGAGACAGTGTTTTGCCATGTTGGCCAGTCTGGTCTTGAACTCTTGATCTCAGGTATCTACCTGCCTTGACCTCTTAAAGTGCTGGGATTCCAGGTGCGAGCCACTGAAACTGGCTAAGAAGTCTTTTTTTTTTCTAAGTGTTTAATCCATGTCCAAGTTCACTCCAGAACAAAAGTTGAAGCAGAGAGAAGTGTTAGCAAAGTCTTTGAGGCAAAGCTAACTTACGTGTTTCTTAGAATATTTAGCTCACTGACAACTCTCAGACTTCATTTTATTTGGATATCAACCTTCTACAGAGGAAGGCCTCACTCCTGTTTTCAAATGTGAAACCAAGAATTCAGATTTTAAATAGATGTCGCCAGGTCTTATCACATAGAATCACCCTCAGGATTTCTTTTTCTTTTTTGAGACAGAGTTTTGCTCTCGTTGCCTAAGCTGGAATGCAATGGTGGGATCTTTGCTCACTACAACCTCTGCCTCCCAAGTTCAAGCGATTCTCTTGCCTCAGCTTCCTGAGTAGCTGGGATTATAGGCCAAACCACCATGCCAGGGTAACTTTTTGTATTTTTAGTAGAAACAGGGTTTCACTGTATTGGCCAGGCTGGTCTCGAACGCCTGACATCAGGTGATCTGCCCACCTTAGCCTTCCAAAGTTCTGGGATTACAGGTGTGAGCCATCATGCCCAGCCCACCCTCAGGATTCCTGCCTCCTGCTCTTATGTGCTGTACACTGTTCCCTGGGTTTTTCTTTAAGAATGTGAGATTTTGGTGCATACAACAAGCTGATGTAACTGTGGGAGTCAGCAGTTATTTACAACAAACTTGGGGTTTTCCCTTTTTCTACAGGATGTTCCTGCCCATCACATTAACTGAGGAAGGTGAAAATGGCTTACCAATATGAACGATGTAAAAGCGGTAGGATCCTGTCTTTATATTCCTGCCATTTAAGAATAAAAAGACAGATGTTACTTTTTTTATTGGTGAGGGAAAGTAAAGTACAAACTCTCTGTATGAGGTGGTGCTATAAAATTCACTGCTATGCAGAAGCCTGCATGTTGTGAACACATCCATTCTTACAGGCAGTGTGGATGCAGAATGCTCTCCATAATGATGTGTGAGCTTCCCCACCCTCTACGGTCCAGATCACTAAGCCTTGGCACCTCAAAGTGAGGGCCCAGGCCTAGGAACATTGACATCCGAATCTTGTTAGACATACAGGATCTCAGGTCCATCCCAGAGTTGCTGGGTCAGAATCTTCATGTTGGCAAGACTCTAAACCACGTAAATACACATCAGGTCTTGAGAAAAGCTGCGTTGAGTGATCTATTGATTGTAAAAACTGGTGCCTCCATGAAGCAAGAGATGAAGTCTCCCTAAGTGAAAATGCTGATGTCCAGAGCAGAGTCTTTTGCCAGGGACAGGAAGCTTCACGAGCTGCCATGGAAGGGAAGAGCTGTGCGGGGTGCTGGGCTTAGCTGGGGCTGTGCTACCTGCTGTCTGCTGTCTCACGCTGGACCTCTGTGCCGTAGTCAAGGCTACAGGGTGCTTGCTGCCTGAGGTCCAGTGACTTTTGTTCATTATTCACAGTGAAGCCAGCCAGGAGGACATTTGCTTCTGGGGCATCTGTGGGCTCTCAGTCTTACCCTAGGTGGAGGGAGTCATGAGGTAATGTCCCCTTAGGACTTCAAGGACCATTCCCTAGTGTAATTTACATTAAAGGGCTGTTGAAGCCCATTAACTGATAACTCAGAAATATAAGCACTGGCTATCATATTGCTTCCTAGAAAATATGCTTAAATATTTGCACTGAAAGTCTTGCATTTGACAGAAGAATTACTATAAATTCAATATTTTGTACAAAATGGCTGACCTTTCATGCACATAAATGTGAGCTCCTCTGGACTCGTCTTAGCCTAGAGTGAGAGTCTTTGTGAACTTGCATTTCCACCTTTCCCCCTCTCCGCCCCCTGGGGCTGCCATTTCATGGGAACACTAGTGGCTGGTGTTCAAGTTTCCACTAATTGCTTTATTATTTCATAAAGAGGCATTAATTGCTAACATAATTTCACGTTCTCCTCTGAATGCATGCTTCTTTTATGCAAAGTGACTACTTCAAACTCTTTCCCACCTCCCACCTTCTTTTTCTCCCGTCTGTAGAGAAACAACAAGCAACCCCTCTCTGGGGCCACGGGAAGTCTCTTGCTGTAACATCTGATCTGGATCCTTCCTTGACCAAATAAAAATTGATTCAGTGAAATACTGATTAAACTTTATTTCCTGACTAGCAAATATCCTTTTTTCTTAAACCCCTTCTTGATTTTGTTTTGTGATTTTGAACCTGTAGAAATAATTGGAAATGATAGAACAAAAAGTTTTTGTACACAGTTTTCTTTCTGTTAATTTCACCACTCTCAGTTGGTGAGTTGCCTGATTTATTCATAAAGTTTCAGCCCCTGGCAAAGTGGATGACCTGCAGTAGGTGCTCAGTAGCTCAATAAAAAGTTGCTTTATAATTCAAAGAACTTTAATATCCTTTTGATTGAGAGAGTATTTTAAAATTTTGGAATTGAAGTTGGGTTGAAGAATGTTCTCTCAAAAACAGTTGGGAATTAAATACCTTATGTTTCCATGACTGTTATTCAGGTTCCTTGGGAAACTGACTCAGATATGGAGAATAGTTTATTGGGATTGCTCTTGAGGCCAACACCAGAGGAGGTGGGGAGATGGGGGAAGAGAGGAAGGAGGGAGTGGAGGGAGGGGGCTGAGGGATGGGGAGGGAAAGAGCCTACAAGCCTGGCAGAAGGAGAAGTTGGGCTGTGGTGTAGTCACAACCAAGGTGTCAGTTGCCCTGTAGGGCAGCTCTGGAGCTGGGGGAGCCCTTCGGGATTGTTTGGAGGTGGTGCAAGGGAGCTGTGCCTTTCTGTGTCCACAGCCAGCCAGTTATAGAGGGCTCTGGGAAGCCATCCCTGGAGGGGAGCATACTGATCAGCCCTTCCTGAAGGGGTTGGCAGCTGGGTATTGCCAGGAGGTGGCTGTAGACCCAGCAGCTGGGGGAACAGTTTGGGAGGCACGTGGCAACACAGACTGCAGTTAGTGTGTCTTGAAATAACGTGGCTGGACTTAATTTGGTGTACAAGCCAAATAAAATCTAAAAAGTGCTGTTATGTTATATTAATTTTAATGTTTGGTGAAGGCAGCAGAATGTAAATTTCTGTGTGAGGTTTGTCACCTGTAAAGTATTCATAGAAAGAAAGGAGGCTGAAAAAGCATATATCAAAATGGTGAGTGTTATCTTTGAGTGTTTTTATTTCATCCTTTATTCTTTCTTGAGCTGTCTCATTTTGGTAATTAATATTTACAACCTTATGATAAAAATCCCCCATGGCAGTGGCTCTTCCTGTCTTTTTTTTTTCTTTGCGACAGAGTCTTCCTCTGTCCTCCAGGCTGGAGTGCAGTGGCGTTAGCTCGGCTTGCTGCAATCTCTGCCTCCTGGGTTCAAGCGATTCTCCTACCACAACCTCCCAAGTTGCTGGGACTATAGGTGCCTGCCACCATGCACGGCTAATTTTTGTATCTTTATTAGTGATGGGGTTTCACCATGTTGGCCAGGCTGACCTTGAACTCCTGATCTTAGGTGATCCACCCTCCTTGACCTCCCAAAGTGCTGCGATTACCAGTGTGAGCCACTGTGCCAGCCTTCCCTGTCTTTTTTAGTTCACTGTTGGGTTGGGGGGGCCCTGTTTCCTTCCTGTCCCGAACGACTCTCTTTTTCCTCCCCTGCATAGGGTCCTTTATTTAGTTCCTTCCTGCTGGCTTTTGTTTCTCTATTTGACATATTTTCATGGTCCTATTCCCATGTTCTTTGGCCAGGTGTCCTTTTCTGGAGACATTTGTACCCATCACCCTTGGCTGACCACACCTTTTGTAAATTCAGAATGATCACTTCTAACAAGGTATCAACATTTTCGATTACTTCTGCTCTTGCCAGTAGAGTATAAAACTCTAATGACAGCTATGTGTGCAGCATGTTATTTTCATTGCTTGCAGGAGAGAAAACCATGTGTTATATTGTCTGCAGAGTAATTCACTTTGAAGTTACTACAGTATAAATAGGATGCTGCTTTACGTGTGCATTTATAAGTTAACATTTTTTACTGTAGACTTGGATAATTAGTGGTTAAAAAAAAACCTCAGTCAAGAGTTCCTAATCTAAGTATGATCCCTTGGCCCTTTAAAAATTGGTACGGAAATCCATACCATTATGTTTGCAAAGTGCAAAAGGGAAGCTAGAAACACATAGTTAGTTGCTGATGAAATGAGTGGTGTTAAGATATATATGAGATCAGAAATACTGTTAAGGCTCTGCCCCTCCTGTGTGACTGGGATGTCAGATTCCAGAGAATACCGTGTTCTGGTATTTTGAGCACAGTGCTGAGGTCTGGAGGTCTGAAGCCCTGTGGGTCCCACAACACTGCAGTGCCAAAGGACTCAGTGTCCTGAACTGACTTGGAGATTGGTTGTGCCTGCCACCAAAACACTGCTGCATCCACCTTGGAGTGAGCCTCTTCTGCCTCCTGGAAAGTGACTAAGGGCTGGAAAGCAGAGAGGGGGGCCTTCCCCAAACCACACACACAGGCCTTGTGACCTTTTGTTTTTGCTGGGTAATGAACACTTGATGATGAGGCCAAATTGGATCTCTAAGTCCATTCCTTGAAGCCACATAATAGTTACAGGGCCAGGATTATCAACTCCTACCCATTTCTAACCATCTGAGAGTATTGCTATTCACCAAAAGAAGCTTTCAGCTGGTATACTTATTATGTATTTAGATATTAGGAGTCCTTCTGGAATCCTCATTATATCCTTGCTTCCCCAGTAGAGTTGTGCCAGCTATTTTGATAATGAAAACGTGCAGGTGAGCACTTTTGGAGTTTAAACCCAAAGGAACTATTGCACTCAAGGAGAAGCTAGGATGCCAGTTTGACAGAAACATCTTTGGTGTCGGAAGCTAAGCTTACTGCAGGGTACGGTATTGCTTGAAGCTCAGAAAAGCTACAGCTTTAAAAAGCAATCTTGCAGCATATAGCAGGTAATTTTCAAGATAAATTACTTTTTCTAAATAATATAGGAGTTATGGGGTTATCGGTACAAAAGGATTTTGATAATTCTGTTTCAGATACCCAGTGCATATTGTTCTGAGTAATTTTAAAGACAGTAAACCGAGGCAAGATCTCTCAAATCCATGATTTTAGATTGTTTGAAAATACCATTAATCTCTTTATAGCCCTTTTTTATGAAAATATTTCTAAATCTAGTTGAAATTGTGCCTGGAAGAAAGCTTAAACTGTCTACATAATCTTGGGTTAGCTCTGGAGACCCCATCCATATTTATAGTTATGCTAAAGATCTAGTAAACCCACTGCATGCCTTGTATTTAGGAAACTACAAAACCAGTTTCCAAACTAAGCTTTATTTGATTATCTTCCCATGAGGATATTGCTTTTTATTGAATCATTTTATCCCCCTCTGAGTTTTTCTTGAGTGCCAAAGCAGAGTTAAAAATAGATCGAAGATGGCTCAAATTATGTAGAAACATAGTGTGTATTTCTTATTTGTGAACTATGGAAGAATTTTGTTTCCTTTTCTGAATATCTGCAAATAAAATGTACTTCATTGGAAGAGGCTTTGGCTTTAAAAAGCATTTGATATTTTTAACTGAAATTAAATAATCCATTTAGTAGCATTCCCAAACACAATCTCTCTGGGTTTTTTTTAAGCCAGTTTTTGCACAGCTAATAGAACATTATATTACACTAAGCAGGATACAGACAGTGCTGCCTTTAGGTCAAGCATTCATTTTGATTTCCTTTTGGCCAGTGGCAAGCAAGCCTTATTTCCCAGATCTTCACAGCCAGTGACGGAAAAATATGGCCCTGGGTGCGTGTTTTCCACATTGCCATTTCCTGCCAGCACCAGTCCATCCTGGTCAGCACACTGTGATCCTGCAGCTCTCTTCCCAGATACTTCCATCACTCCATACCTGTCAGCACAGGCCCCTGTTGGAAGATCCGAAACTCAAGTGTGTCTTTTGAAGCCAGTGACATCAATTGCCAAGCCCATACAGAGCTGCTCCATCCCAGCAGCCTCTGGGACCACCAGGTACCTGCCCTACTAGAAGGCCTTCTTCTGTTCAGAGCTAGGTCACTGTTCAATTCCTTTGTGGTCCCTGGTTCAGACTCCACACCGGGTGTGCAGCTTAGAATGGCTAACACTGCCAACTCCCCAGGGCGATCCTCTCTAATGCAGGCTTACACTGGGTTGGGCAGCGCTTGGCACCAGTGTGAAGCTGGACATTAGAGGCAGAGTCCCCTGAGGACCTGACCCCAGCCCCAGACTCTGCACCTCTCTTTCGGTATTTTCCAGGGGATATTGTTTCCTACTCTGTTCGAGGCTGTCCCAGTCACTCTGGTGTATTTCAATTACTTTGAATTTCGAAAACTCTGACATGAGGATGAACTCCTGAATATATCTAATAACAAATTTCATTTTTTTAAGTGAATTACTGGAAGTAAGAACTCTTCATTTCATGGGTTGCTGTGTTTTATTTGATGACACAAAGTGAGTATACAAATGAAAGCCAGAGAGCCATTCTTTGAGAGCACAGCTTCAAGGCTCTGAAAATGATCTCAATTCCAAAAGCCTCTGTGCCTGTGACCTATGTGGCTTGGCTCCAAGTTACAGTGATGCCTCCTTGATGGATGATCTTGTCATTTGACACCAAGTACAATTGCAGTAGTAACAATATGTTCATTCTTTCTGAACCCTGTATGAGAATTCCCAGGCTTAGGGACCGATTGTGAAAATGACATTGATTGATAAGTCCCCTGTGAGCTTTTAAACGTGCCTCTCTTTATAGGAGTGCTCATACTGCAAGGGTTTTTTAAATTGACTCTATTAATATTGTTATATTCTTATGATATTATTCTAGTTTATTTACTTTTCCGAAGAAGTCTGCCTTAATCTGTTAGGAAAAACACCCTTAATGCAGCGCAGTATCCAAGTCATAAACCATTGCCATTCTGTTGACTACACCCTGGGGTAACCTGTTAGGAAGACGTTTATTACACAATGTTTATTGCACGCCCGTGTGTCCATTGTTCTTTGTTAAGTGCCCAGGGAAATATAAAGCATAAGATCACCCTTTCTCCTTAAGAGTATACAGTAAAATTTAGAAGACAGGTTTATATAAAATATTAAATATAACGACATGGCAGCTTAGACGAATGTCATCCTGTGACTGAGCTCTTGGTGAGAAACTATCACTAGAGGAACAACTGATAAAGAAAAAAAAAAGTCTCAGGGATGCCTTGGAACTGCTGTTGACTCCACCTTTGCTTCTATCTAAGGGAGCTTTAGAGCTTGGAGATAAAAGGGAAGGGACTGAGATGGAGCAGATATGGGGAGACTTTGAGCCTGAGACCTGCCTGAAGGTGGGTGGGTGGGAAGGGTACAGCAGGTGGGATTCCAGGGCAGGCTCCCAGAAGGACTTGTGTGGGATGCAGTGGAGATTTGAAGAGGTACAGTGGGGCACAGTCTGTCTCTGCATGAGTAGGGAGGGACGGGGCCTCTGGTGTGAGCTTGCCTGAGTTCTAAGCCACGCTTTGCCATTTATAGGCCTGACAATTTGGAGAATGATATTCTCTTTCTTTGCATCTTAGTTTTTTCTTTTTTTTTATGGTGGTAAAAAATACATAAAATGTACCATTTTGATAATTTTAAGTATAAAATTCAGTGTTACTAAGTATATTTACAGTGAGTGGTGTGACCATCACTCTATCCATTTCCAGAACTTTTTTATCTTTTAAATCTGAAATTATAAACTAACTCCTCATCTCCCGTCCCCAAACCCAGCCTTCTTCTTCTTTTGTCTCTATGAATTCGCCTATTCTAGGTACATTATGTAAGTAGAATCATTTAGTATTTGTCCTTCTGTGTCTGGCTTATTTCACTAGCATATCATTTAGATTCATCTGTGTTGTACCATGTATCAGAATTTTATTCCTTTTTCACTTTAAATAGTATTCCACAGTATGGATAGACCACATTTTATTCATCCATTTCCCTGTTGATGGACACCTGGGTTCTTCCACTTTGGGCTGCAGTGAGAACTGGTGTACAAGTGTCTGTGTGAGTCCCTGTTTCAGTTTTCTCGGGTGTGTACCTAGGAGTGGAATGGCTGGGTCAAATGGGAATTGTGTTTTTGACTTTGGACCTTAGTTTTCTTATGGACTAAGTGGGGATGCTGATAGTTCCTAAAACACAGGGGTATTGTGAGGGTTAAGTATTAATACATAACAAAATGTTTAGACATGTTTAGAAGAGGCCGGCATGTGGCAAACTCTAGCAAGTGGTGCCTTGTGTGATTTTACCGAAGGCACCGGTTGGCCCTGTCTTCAGCCAGCTCAGTCAGCACCTGGAGGGGAGGCCTGAGGATCAGCACTGCCTAAAACGAGGCAGCATCATAGCAGGTGCTCACTTAATGTCATCAATAGGTTCGTGGAAACGGTGACTTGAAGCCAGGCAATATATGACAAAATCATAGGCTAATTGGTATAAACAAGAATTAAGTTTGTATGACAGCTTCTGGTCACAAAAGCATCACCAAACTTCTGAATAAAGACCAAAACACTTCTAATATTCTATAAGAAATGTGAGTTATCCATACATTTAAGAAAGTTTAATAAAAACAAGTAAGGTAGACTGGGCGTGGTGGCTCATGTCTAATCCCAGCACTTTGGGAAGCCGAGGCAAGTGGATCACTTGAGGCCAGGAGTTTGAGACCAACCTGGCCAACATGATGAAACCATGTGTCTACTAAAAATAGAAAAATCAGCCATGTGTGGTGGCACTCACCTGTAATCCCAGCTACATGGGAGGCGGAGGCAGGAGAATCCTTGAACCTGGGAGGCGGTGGTTGTAGTGAGCCAAGATCTTGCTTCTATACTCCAGCCTGGGTGACAGAGGGAGTCTCTGTCACAAAACAAACAAAATAAGTAAGGTAGTGATTTACCCACTATTTTTTTTTTTTTTGAGACGGAGTTTCGCTCTTGTTACCCAGCCTGGAGTGCAATGGCGCAATCTCGGCTCACCACAACCTCCGCCTCCTCGGTTCAGGCAATTCTCCTGCCTCAGCCTCCTGAGTAGCTGGGATTACAGGTGTGCGCCACCATGCCCAGCTAATTTCTTGTATTTTTAGTAGAGACGGGGTTTCACCATGGTGACCAGGATGGTCTCGATCTCTTGACCTTGTGATCCACCCGCCTCGGCCTCCCAAAGTGCTGGGATTACAGGCTTGAGCCACCGTGCCCGACCTACCCACTATTTTTGTTCGCGGTCTTGGGTGGCAAGAGCCTGTCCCAGAAGCTTAGGGTACCAGGTGGTCACCAAGCCTTGAACAGGGTGCCATCCCATCGCAGGACCACTCACAGACACGTGCACACTCACACTGGGACTGTGTAGGCATGCCAGTTATCCTCTGGGATTCTGCAGACCTGAGGAGAATGGGAAAACTCCACACAGACAGCGGCCCAGGGCAGGAATGGATGCTATTTGAGAACTGCTGAACCTACTCGTGCTTCTGGACAGTCAACGCAAAATGTTTCGCTGTGAGTAATTCACAGAGTTCCTGTTTTGTCCCAGCTTTGGCTACTTCTGTGATCTCACTATAGGTAGATGATGAAATGTTATGTGTCCTTATTTACAGAGGCTGAGATCTGAATCAAAATCTTTAAATTTAACCTCTTCCTAAATTATTTGAGGACATAAAATATGATTACGTGTTTTTGATTTGAAATGGTATTCATAGTACACAAAGACAAGGTATCGGTTTCTGCAGCCAGGAAGTTTAACTCTGAAATATCACATGTTTTGACAAGAGCCTCCTGGGGAAGGGAGTACGCAAAGAGGCGGTTTCCTGTTAAAAATTCAGCACATTGTGCTGTAAGTGCTGTGAGTTGGGCTAAGGATGAAAAATCTCCTTTGATGTGTAACTCAAGCGTGGATGTTTGGCTGTAGCTAAAAGCCCGAGAGCTCTCCATGGTGTGTGTGTCCTGAGGAAGTTAGGACTGCAGATGTGTGTGTTGCTCACTGCCACTGCGGAAGGGTCATCTTGCAATAAACACAAACACAACTTTCCGATTCTTCAGACAGCCTGCTTTTCAAAATTAGTAAAAGTTAGTTAAATATTGGATTTAAATTCCTTGTCAAATCCATCGAACAAAGAATCTAGCGAATTGTGAGTAAGCTATGGATCAGTGAACATAGCATATTTTTATATGCTCTGTTTGAGTCAAGTAAAAGGACAACATTGTCAGCTTTTTTTTAAGGCTTGCTTCCTTTGCACGATAAGGAACAAAGTAAGTTTTGCAAAATGAAGTGATTGTGAGTACACAATCAGATGTATGTTACAAGCCCCAGAGGGTATTATCACCAGTAAACACTGAAGCTGCGTTAATTTTGTATGGCAATCATTTTGTGAAAGTGGGTAGGTACTTTGTTAAAACAAGGAACGGTGGGCTCTCTCAGACAGGAACTCACTGAGGGGAACAGACAGAAGCTTGTCTCCTTCCTTAGGCCTCTAGCATCTGTCTTCAAATTGCCTAAAATTCTTTTGAGCAGGCATTGTTGGGGAATGAAACTGCGTTAATGCAGGGGTCCCTGTGTCACCATGAGCATCCTCACTCAGCCTCCGTTAACCCAGGGAGGTCTGGAGGGTCTCTTCATTGGTCCTTCTAAACACAAAAGAATGATAAAAAAATCTACTCTTTGCTGATGCTTGAAATTCCATTATCAAAAGAACAAAAGCATTTCATTCTGCAACCTACAACAAAAGTACTTTCGGATTTAATGCCTTAATGTGTGACTGTGTTTGAGTCAGGGCGTCATAAGTCAGGGAAACAATTCAAATGACTGCTTTGTTAGGAGGTAAAAGGGCACATGCTGTCCTGAGTGCCTGCAAAGGCTGAAGAGTCCTGTGGAGGGGACGTGGGAAGGTGGAGGTCACAGGTAGGGTAGTGAGGGGTGCGTTGAGGGGATCAGAGATTCCAGCCCCAGGCTTTAGGGCTCCACAGCCCCCCTCCTGCTCACCCTCTCAGCTTTATCTGACACAGCTCCAAAAGGAGCTGGCCCAAGAGGGACTTCTTTCCTGAACAAGCATTTCTGCCCATGATGATTTATAAGGATCACTTTTTAAACATGGTTGAGTTTGTATAACCAGGGGATTAATTAGCTGAGGAATCACTGTGACAGTAACACAGATAAAGCACCAAAACCAAAGGCCGTAGATGGAGAGAATGAAACACACAGGTCACCTCCACCCGCTTCACAGCAAGGTGGGCTGGTCAAGGGCACCAGTGAGTTGGCCTGGCTGAGAAGGGGGTGGGGTTTCTATGGGAGAAGAGGAGACATTCCAACCAGAGAGAAGAGAGCTGTAAGAGCAGGTGCAGGAAGTCACTGGTACATTAGATCCTTTAAGACCCCAGTGAATGGACCTGTCTTTCTTGTTATGTTCTACTTGGAGCTGACCTGAGATTGTCACTATAGTAAATTCATCAAAAGTTCTTCTCTCAAGAGATGTGGACTCCAGCCTCTAGTACTCTGCACTAAACCATGAAACTTATGCACATCTGAGAGATGCCCCTTTGTAGGTTTGTGATTATTCCAGTGTAGAATCAGAAATATAAAGATAGCAGGTTTCTGTTCTGAGTGCAGGAGTTTAGGATCATTCATTCTTGAGGGACTTAATGATTATGTTAAGTGTGCCTCAGTACATGTATACCACAGCCGTATGGTACATTTATGTTTTTGTGTTAAAAATATGAATTCTTTAAAAGCCTAGAAATAACTCCAAATCAGAAACCATAGAATCTTAAAACAAAATCTCATGTAATTTGAAAATATCATTATTGTGCCTACACATATTACCACAGATAGTGTAGAATGATTTGCTTTAGGGTTAGAACAAGCCTTGGAAAAAGCCCAGTTGTTTTCTCCATAATTATATTATGTAGTAAACTTCCAGCATAGCTAGTATTTGTGGATTAAGTGTGAAATTAGTATCAGCTATGAAACCTTTTGAAAATAAACCTACATATTCAATAGCATATGGCATAGGGAAGCCAGCCCGTTGCATCTAACCATGCCAAATAGCTCCGCTGTAACTTGATATCAGAAATGTTGGACAATATATGCTGAAAAACATCCTAGTTTTCACATAACAACTTGATTTTAACAGCAATTCAAATGCATGTGTGCTTCTCTGCAAAAATATATGTATATGTGTAGCTTGTTGGGACAGTCTGAATCTTTCTATGGCCAAACATTTCTGTCTTCTCCTTCATCATCCAAGAAAAAAATCCTGTGTCTATATGGGATAACTGGCCTGAATTGGTCCTGAATAATGCAGTCTGATACCTTCTATGGCCCTGCCTGCCATCTTGTCATGAGTCAACTGTGATTAGGATGAATGGGAAATACTGGTTTATGATATCTCCGGACTACGCGCAATGTCAATTTGCACAGAGAAAGTCTCATTCACATGGAGAAAGAGTTGGCTGGGTATAGCAAATCATCATTGTGAGCACTGATTTGATATTGTCTTCCTGTAGATAGAGCCCAGGTATAATGTTAAAATCTAATGTGGATAATAGAGTTGATTGTAGTCTGCAGCAACGCTTTGTGAGAATGATAACAAAACACCAGTTTTGATGATGAGGTTATTATTAGAAACTGAGGGTTTTATAGCTGGAAGGGAACTGACAGGTTTCAGATGAAAACTCAAGCCATAATATACAGTGACTTGTGAAAATTACAAAGCCAAGGCTATGATTCTATCCCTGAGTCTTCCAGCCCAGGGCCCTTTCTACTAAACCACACAGTACAGAGATTGAGAAATAAATTATACTTCGATCATGTTTGTCATGGAAAATCTACAATCTTTATTCTAACACACAGAGATTCAGAAAGTATGTTAAGTGACAACATTAAATGAGCCGCTCTCTATTTAACAGTTACCTGTCTATTTAATGTTTATGATTTTATATTCTCACACCGCATAACCACATAATTAATAGACAGTAATCATGCACTGTGTCTGCTTGATTTAGGATGGATCTCTCCCTTCACTATGCTTTAAGTTTGCTGTGTGAAGCTGGTCTCATACAGGTGGCTAGACTCTATAGGTTGCAGCAGTGATCTTCAACTATGTAATCAGTTATCAACAAAAGGAGAGCTTATAAATTATTCTCTTTGGGAATGCATCCATTGTTGCTTGTCATTGTAATGGAATGCCAAGCTCTCTATGTTATTTCCCAATGGATGTTTAACATGGGCCATGCACCATTCACTCAACGAGCATCAGTTGTGTTTGCTGCTCCTGATACTTTGTCTAGCCTGATGGGATGCAACATGGTTTTTGCCTCAGTGAAACTATGAAAGAAGATCGTATGTGACTAACACTTAATATACGTTTACTAAATGCCTAATTTGTGCCAGATACTGTTTTAGAACCAGAATTCTAATATGGCTGGCAAATTATTTTGAAGAATGCTAAGAAAATTTCAAGTTAAATGTTGACTATGTATCTGTGTTTGATGATGGTGATGAGAATGATGCATTGGGCATTCAGTAACCAAGCAGTGTGCTAAATATTTCACCTGGTTTATTTCATTTGGTCTTCAGAACAATCTTTTGTCAGAAGGATGATGAGAAAAGAGGCTAAAATAGATTAAATAATTGGCCCAATAATAAAAAAAGAAGGCTTAGTTAGAGAGAAGAGTCCTCAGATATGTATGTACCTTGATGTTAAAATAGGATGTTTTTGACATTTGATTGCTCAGGGAGAAGGTAGAACTGAAGGTGCTATTAAAAGGTAAGTAACATTAAGACATATATGGCCATCTTAAGTTTGAAACAAAAACTTTGTGTCATTTTTCTGAAGTGCCAAATTTCCCTTTGATATGAATGTTTATTACATTTCTAAAATGGTAATAAGCACATCTTCAACTGGAAAATTTAAATTACCCCTCTACTTTCCTATGACTTAAAATACAAAAAAAAAATAGGATAACAATGAAAATTTTATCAAGTAAACTATCAACCAAATAGGGCAAAATAATTTATTTTCATTTGTTTCCTTAGGTTTATATAATCACATTGTTCCATCGCAAAATGTAAATCTTTATCATCATTAGCATTTCTCCTTAAACAGAGATCCTGACTATATTAAGTCTATTTATCACAAACTGCTAGGTGCTAAGCTCTGGCATATGGTTGTTGAAATAACACAGCTTCCCCACAAGAGCTGCTAAGAAATTGGGGCTGCCCATCTGGCTGGGGAAAGCAGGAGGCATGACAGGTGATGGGCTGGTACTGGATGAAAGCAGCCAAATGCCTGCATGACGGCCATAATTCAAGGCCAATCTAGACAGCATCTGAGAGGTCTCAAAGGAAATGAAATGAGGGCTGGGTGTGTCTCATGGGTGATACGTTGCAATGATTGAGATCAAGGTCTGATGCTTCTCAGTGGGCTTCTCAGAAACACTTGTAAAAGGGATCTTCTACTGAGAACGTAATCACTTCAGGCCTGGTACACCTATTGTTCAGCTCCCTTGAGTTTCGGCACTCCTGCGCAATGAGAGAGTGACTAAATCCAGCATGACCTAGTTCATCTATGGAGCATTTGTACTCATAGCAAGTATCCCAGCTGACAAGGTCTTTCTCTGTAATGTAGGTTGATTTTAGGGTTTTATAGTGGTTTTATCATGGCCATGATAATAAGTTGGAGTCAACCATTCTGATGCTATTGGCCTAGGACATGGAATACTGTAGGGTGCAAAGTGCAGACAAAACAGACCCAAGCCTTACTGGAAAAGAGAGCCTAAGATAGAGGTCTTTTCTTTTCTTTTTCTTCCTTTTGTTTTTTTTGAGATGGACTTTCATTCTTGTTTCCCAGTCTGGACTACAGGCGCAATCTCAGTTCACTGCAAACTCCACCTCCTGGATTCAAGTGATTCTCCTGCCTCAGCCTCCTGAGTAGTTGGGATTACAGGTGCCCACCACCATGTCCAGCTAATTGTTCTTGGTATTTTTAGTAGAGATGGAGTTTCATCTTGTTGGCCAGGCTGATCCTGAACTCCTGACCTTAGGTGATCCACCGGCCTCAATCTCCCAAAGTGCTGGGATTACAGGCATGAGCCAATGCACCTGGCCAGATAGAGATATTTTCAGCAGTCACTCCTTATCAGGTGAAATCACAGTTTTTCCAGGAAGGAGGGATTAAAATTTATACCTGTGCCTACCCTTCCTCCTCTCCCTTCCCCTCCCCCTTCCCCTTCCTTCTTCCCCTCCTCTCTACCCCTTCTTCTTCCCTCCTTCCCTCCTTCCCTTTTTCCCTTCCCCTCCCCCTTCCCATCCCCCTTCCCCTCTTCCCTTACCTTCCCCCTTCCCTCCTCCCCTTTCCCTTCGCCCTCCCCTTCCCCTTCCTTCCTTTTTTTCTCCCTCCCTTCCTGCCTCCTTCCTTCCTTCCTTCCTTTCCATTTATCCATCCAACAGACACTTATTAAACTCTTCCTATCTGTTGTGACTCATAAAGTTATATTACACACTAGTGTGAGGAGACAAAAAATAAACTAATAAATAAGTAAAATCTAGATAATATTAAACAGTACCTTATTTTGCTTCAGAAATTAGAGATGCAGAAGACAAGATGCCAGTGGTCTAAGACTGAAGCACTCTAATATTTAGCAGTTGACCAGAAAAGAAAAAAAAACAGAAAAGAGAATGAAAAGTAAACCATAGAGCCTTTAAGTCATAGTGGCCAGGAATAGAGAACTTCAAAGATAAGGCTGACAGCTGTGTTCGGTGCTGCTTTGAAGCTGTGTAAGATGAATCAAGACTAGTACCTATTGGAAGTGCTAACATGGAAGCCATTACTGACTCTAGCAAAGTCAATTTCAATGAAATGAAGGGGTTAGAAGTCCAATTAAAGTAGGTAAATGGTTCTCAAAGAAGTGAAAGCTTTTTTGAAAAGTTTTGCTTCAAAAAGAAGTTGTAAATTGTTGCTATTAAGAATGATCTAGTGTGTGGTCTACAACTTTAGGCTGAGTTTGAATTCTTTGTTTGCAAGTTGGGATGAGCTGGTCACTTAACCTTACTGAACCTCCTTTAAGTTCTCCCATGCAATGTTGATTTTAGAAATACAGTTAAGGGAGAACACATGGAGCTGTTTTTTAAATCATTTTTCCCTCCATATACTTAAATTGGTATGTGTGTTTTGAGATAGGGAGAGCCAGTGGACGTATTGGGGTTGAAATTGTATTACCTTTACATTATGTAAGTACAGTCATACATCACTTAATGACAGAGGTAGGACACATTCCTGAGAAATGTGTCCTTTGGCAATTCTGTCATTGTGTGGATATCGTGTCATTGTGTACTTACCCAAACCTAATGGTCTAGACAAAGACACGCTGGGCCATATGCCATAGCCTATTGCGCCTGCGTTATAAACCTGTACAGCAGGTTACTGTACTGAATACTGTAGGCAGTCATGGCACAGTGGTAAGTTTTTGTGTATCTAAACATAGTAAAGGTGCAGTAAAATACAGTATCAAAACTTTTTTTAAAAAAAAGGTACACCTGTACACGACACTTAACCATGAATGGAGTCTGCAGGACTGGGCGTGGCTCTGGGGGAGTCAGTGAGGGCTGAGTGTGAAGGCCTAGGACATCACCGTGCACTGCTGTAGACTCAATAAACACTGTCCACTTAGGCTACACTCGATTTATTGAAAAATTCAATAATAAATTAACCATACTGTAATTAGGTTTACTCTAACTTTTTACTTTAGAAATTTTAAAATTTCTTTTTACTTTTTAACTCTTTTCTAGTAGCACTTAGCTTAAAACACACATTGTACAGCTAGACAAAAATATTTCTATCCTGATCTAGAAGCTTTTTCTTTTAATTTTTAAAATGTTTTCATTTAAAACTAAGGCACAAACACATCCATCAGCCTAAGCCTACATAGGATCAGGATCAAAACAATGATACCACCAGGCAGTAGGGCAGTTTCTGCTTCATGCGGTTCGTTGTTAACCAAAATGTTACGTGCAGTCACGTGACTGTAACTGAAACTTCGTACCCTTTAGCAACAGCACCCCATTGCTCTGTTCCGCCGATGCCTGGTAGCCACCTTTCCACACTCTGCTTCTGTAAATTTCTCTATTTTAGATTCCATATATAAATGTCATCCTGCAGTATTTGTCTGTCTGAAGATCTAATATACAGCATGATGACTATAGTTAATAATACTGTATCATGTACTTCAACTTCGCTAAAAGGAGAGACCTTTTTTCTTATGAATTTTATTGTATTTATTTAATTATTATTATATTTTCTTTTTGTTTCTAGTTCTGGGATACATGTGCAAAATGTGCAGGTTTGTTACATAGGTATACATATGCCATGGTTGTTCGCTGCACCCATTAACCTGTCCCTTAGGTTCTAAGCCCGGTATGCATTAGGTATTTGTCCTAACACTCTCCCTCCCCTTGCCCTCCACACCCCCAACAGGCTCTGGTGTGTGATATTCTTAAGTGAGTTTTCCACAAAAAAATAAGAAAATGTTACTACGCGAGGTGATGGATATGTTCATCAGTTTGCGGTGATCATTTCACAATGTATACATACCTTAAAGCATCACATTGGATATCTTAAACATGTACAATTTACATTTTTCAATTATATTTCAACAAAGCTGTTATAAATTACTTAAGTAGCAGAATCACTTAAGTTACTGTTACCCTATTGTAGAGAGAAGAATTTAGACAGTTTCAGAATTCCCTTAACCTTTTTATATGCAAGTGATGTTATTTTGTTGGGACAGATATTAAAGGTTGGCTTTTTTATATTTTCACTTAGTTTAATTAATAAGTGTAAGTTGTAGCAGAGTACTTAAAGTAGATGTAAAACTATGGAAGGCCTAATTAAGCCAGTGATTTAAGAGATAAGAAGATACTGGCATAATTCAAGTGTATTTTGTGCTTAGTACTTAGCTACCTGTACTTCACATATCTCATAGAGAACATAAACACAGTGGTTGGGTGTGGCTTATTCAGCAACTAGAGCTTCCTGAAATCGGGACTTTTATATTGATATTGGAAAGTAATTATATAATATACTTGCCTTCGAAATACATACTTAATATGCAGAATTCAATTTATGTGGTCGTAACTACATAAACAAAAACAACTACAAATTTTGAATTGAGAAGTGAGTTCTCAAAATTTACTCTTTTTCAAGATTGTTTAACTTTTCTGTGTTCTTGCATTTCCAAATGAATTTTCAGATAAACGTGTTAACTTCCACAAACAAACAAAAGAACACCTGAGATCTTGATAGAGATTGTATTAAACCTTTCGATTAATTTGGCAAGTATTGCCATCTTCACGATATTGTTTTCCTGTCCATGAACATAGACCATTTTTATACTTATTTAGATCTTTAAAAATTCCTTCTTTTATTTTCATGACATACATTTTGCATTTATTTTGGTTTACTTAACTTTTTTATGCAATTGTAAGTGAAATTGTATTCTTAATTTCATTTTTGGATTGTCCATTTCAAGGGCATAGAAATGCAAACGATTTTTAAAATATTGATCTTGTGCCTTGCAATTTCACTGAAGTTTATTATCAGTTCAAAAAATTGTTTTCTGGATTCTCAGGAGTTTCTATATGTAAGATCATATCATCTGCAAATAGAGACGGTCTTACTTCTTCATTCCCTATATGGTTGCCTTTTATTTCTGTTTTTTTATTTTTATTATTTTATGATTTTATTATTTTTTGCCTAATTGCCTTGTATATGGTAAACTTCTTTTACCATGTTGAATAGGAGTATTGAGAGTGAACATCCTTGTCTTATTCTCAATCTTAGGTGTTATGATTTGTTTCAAGATGTATTTCTTATAATTAGATATAAAAATATTTGTGGTGACTCAGACAACTTACTCTTGCCCTATTTCATATTTGATAATAATGCAGTTTTTACACTTAAGCCAAGTAAAGTTTTTGAGACAGTGTTTTGCTCTGTTGCCCAGGCTGGAGTGCAGTGTGCATTCAGGGCTCACTGCAGCCCCAATCTCCCAAGCTCAAGCTGTCCCCACAACTCAGCCTCCCAAATAGCTAAGACTATAGGTACATACCACCATGTCTGGCTAATTTAAAAAAAAATTTTTTTAGTAGAGATGGGTTCTCACTATGTTGCCCAGGCTGGTTCTGAATTCCCGAGCTTAAGCAATCTTCCTGCCTCAGCGTCCCAAAGAGTTATATAATTTTTAACTCAATTAAACTATTAACAAATTTTTCATTAACTATACTAATGACTTTATGATAGATTTTGTAACTGTTTTTGAGCCTTTTAACAGAAAATTGTACCTTTGAATATTTAAGTTTTCTGTGCACTTCTGCTGAAATTCAAATATGAGTGCTATTTTAAAGCCTACTGTGCTGCTCTGTTGAGGTTCATAAAAAGCCTACTTTGTAGTGTTGCAGAAATCACATAATTGCATACTCGTGGTTTGCTTTTATTTTAAAGATTACCAAGTATGAAGAAATTCAATGATATGTTACGGGTTGGTATAGAATATGTTGTAACTTGGCCTAGTTTGTCCCTTGATTATAACATTGTGAACTCTCTTAACGATAAATTTAAAAAGTTTATGCACATTTATATACTACCTAGTCAAGTGGAGGCACTGCTGGGTAAAATACATCCTAAACGGAATTCCCACCTAGGATTCTATTCCTCTCATTTTAATTCGTCACATTGCATTACTGTGATCTTGTTAGCAGAAAGAGGATAGTAGCCTCGTTTTGTCTGCAGAGTTTCACATCATTAACCTTCCAGAGTCACTTTTATTATAGGGAGAAATGAATGGACTAATATTTGAGGAGAATCACTGCAGTATTCCCTGTGCTGAGAAAATACACACTCAGAGTCTGATGACCATGATGCTTCTGCAGAGAAATGCATCTCCCATTCATTAGGAAATTCATTTTTTTCTTTTTTCGCGTGCATTAATGGGATATTTTCGTTTGTTTGCCCTGCCTTTAAGAAAATTTGATTAATTCTATTTCATGTTCCTATTATGTAACACAAACATTCGAGCCTATTCTTCTCATTATTGTGATGCAAAAAAGTACTTGCATGTTTTTAAAGAAAAGTGGTGCATGCCTGTAATCTCAGCTACTCAAGTGGCCGAGGCAAGAGAATTGCTTCAATCTGGGAGTTAGAAGTTGCGGTGAGCCAAGATCACTCCACTGCACTCCTGCCTGGGTGACAGAGTGGGACTAAGTCTCAAAAAAGAAACAAAGAAATATCACTGCGTGTGATTTTTGGGGGGAATGGGGAGCATACACATGCATGTGTGCATCTTATGGAAAAATCTTGAGTCTAAGCAGTTGGGCACTTTAGCGGTATGTTATTATACTTCCTCTTCAGATGCCTAAAATGCCAGCTCCTGTGTGTCAGCTGTCACTGCACATTCATGCAGCATTGCTTTTTGAGGTCACACTATGACATTTAATGATGAAGAAATTTTTATGTTTTGGACAGCTTAAAGGATGCAGTAAAATAAGCTTGACAGCTATCACCTGTGAAATGTGTTGTGCAATTATACATAGAGAAAATGATTTTTAAATATTTGTGTTACATTCATGCTCTTAAACATATTAGTACCTCAAAATCCATCAAGTGAATACAACCAGCTGTCAGGAAAAAACATAACTAGCTTCTTTCCAGAACATGACATGTATTTATAAAACATTATTTTTTAAAGCCTGGATTATCTTGCATGTATAGCCAGGTATTAGGCCTTATTTTAAATCTTTATTTATATAGTACATACGTATGTCATATATAGAGAGATATATATGTATATATTGAAACTATTGCACCTAAATGTTTATATATTTTTTTTCTTTTCTTTTTTGAGAGAGGGTCTCACTGTGTTGTCCAGGCTGTAATGCAGTGGTATGATCATAGCTCACTGCAGCCTCAACTGCCTGGGCTCAAGCAATCCTCCCCCCTCAGCCTCCTGGGTAGCTGGGAGGACCACAGGCATATGCCACCTAATTTGACTTTGTAAAAATTTTTGTAGAGACGAAGTCACGCTGTGTTGCTCAGGGCTTGTTCATTTCTTGTTACATTTTTATTATAAATATATAGAAATGGAATTGCAGAGTCAAAGGTATGTTTGTCTTTAGTGCATTTGACACTTGTACATACTTTCTCTTGTTATAGAATATATGGGTTAATATGATCTCTCTCTCTCTCATTAGATTGTTGAATTGTGGCTGTGTATTTCTAGACCACACATACTATATAGTATAGACTCATTAAATGTCTGTTAAATGAGTGGTTCACTTATAGTTAGGCACATTTGCAAATTTAGACATATTTAAAGAGATATTTTTAACTACTACAGAACTGAATTGCTAGAAAATCCAATTCAAAAAGATATTTAAGTCATCAGTACATATTTAGGGATCTTCAATGACACTTTTTGCCCATCTTCTATTTTTCCATATTAGAGATAATTTTTATTAGTGAAAATCACAATTTGTAAAGTGAAATGGAGAAATAAAGAAAAATTGAGTGAGAATAGGTGAGAGTAGGAACCCAAGAATATTAGTAAATGCTAATCCTTCCTTGACCACATTGATCAAATCTTTTGCAACCTGTCTAATGAAACAGATGTGGGAATATCATGAGGGAATTTGGAAACAGCAGTAATGGCTCTGCTGTGTCATCATTGTTTATGATTAGTTGAGACTGGTTTGCAAAACAAACATGGTATTAGGTCAGGAATTCAGATCTCTGATTCCTTAAAGAGAAAAGCAAAATGGGGAGAGGTACTTGTGGACAGTCTTGCAGCTCATGGAAGGGATGCACTGAGCTGTGCACACAGCTGGAGTGCAGCTGAATGGGGTGGTGCTACTGCTGACCTGGTCTGCATGTGTCTCATGTACCCACTCCTGGGTGCCTGGCAATGGGGCTCTGATTCAGACTCACATGTTTGTGAAGAAAAACAGCAATGAAAATGAAGTCAGCTGTGATTTGAAGTGAGTTCCCACCACCTTCATGAAGATAGGGAAAGGAGTATGGGCGAGTTTCCTGGTGCAAAAGAGGAATAAAGTCAACAAAGGAAGGACTTGGGATTTATATGAAAAACGAACTTGAACTTGTATACCTGAGTGGATGTGTCGTTTGGGAGCTTCTGTCTTTTTTCCTGCAGACTGCTCAAAGCCGGTATAATTCATGTACCATGAAGTCACACACCCATGTGTCCCAGCTGTTCCCCTCATCAAAGATGTTGCCAGAAGAAATTCTGGACTAAAAGGGGGTCTTCCTTCATTCCCCAGAGCCCTGTGTAAATCAGCTAGAAACCACTTACCATCCTAATACTGTTGACCACAGGTGATGGACCTACCTAGAGAGAGTGATGGAAGGCAGAGAAGAGTTATATGCCACATTGGGAAAATTGAAGCTTGAAGAGTGAATAGTGTGTTAAATATAGAAAGAAGGAGATGACTTTCAGTCCATGTAATATTGACACAAATGCATGATAACCAAAGCAGGCTACCCTTTACAGGTGAAAATCAAGATGCGTGGGAATTTGTGCTGACAAATTCATTGCAATCAAGGCCCAAAGACACTTGTTGGGAAGTTGAAAAGCCGCAAAATTTTTGCCTTTAAAAAAAATTGTCAATGGGCATGCTACCTGCCTAGATTTAGGAGAATTCCAGCAGCAATGTGCAGGGCCAGGTTACAGAGAAGCTGGACTAATGGCACAATTTAGGGTTTGAGGACAGAACCAATCATATCATTTGTAGGGTCCAGTTCAAAATGAATACTGTGGAACCCTTTGTTTAAAAATTATTAGGAATTTTAAGACGGCGACAGCAGAGCATTAAAGCAAACACCACATTGTTCTCCTAAGGGTGAGGCCCAATGAGACTGCCTAGGTCATATGCCCAACAAGCTTTATTGGTTGGGGAAGGGAGAGGTGAGATAAATCCAGGATCCTTCTGTATTTATGTCTGAGTGAGTTTGAATGAATAAGGGAGTCTTTGCACCATTACATGAGAATGGAATACAGAAAGCAAATCTGGTTCATGAACATGGAAAATAGATTTGTTCTAATGATTTTTAGCTGAAAATTTCTTTGGTAATGTCCAAGCGCAGTCAGAAACATGAATCTGGGGCACAAAAGAGAGGCAAGATCTTAAAACGCCAAGCTAAGTGTCCGCAATGTATAGGGGTATATGTGACCTGCAGGAAAACTGTATGCGGATATAGAATGAGAGTAAAGGCAGCCAAGGACAGGAACCTATGGAAGAGCAGAATTCCAAGTGGGGGAGGATTTCTTCAGATGTCTTTTCTTCTCAACATTCCTGCCTGAAGTTCAGAGCTCGACATATAAAGGGGAAATTAACAGGTAGGAGAAAATAAAAGATAAAATAATTATTTGGGATAAGATGCATGATTTCGATGCATAGCTGGAAATTAGATGATCCATCCACCGTATGTCCCCAAAAGGGCATATCTCCCCCAAACTAGGGGAAAGTGGAATGGGAATGGTCGATATTAAGGGTCCTGGGGTTTTGACCTGGCCCCCCACTCACTCACATCCTTCAGCATCCCTCCCAGCCCTGGCTTCCTCTTCGTTACCACCAAGGTGAATACCTGCCATCGCTCATCCTCCCCAGAGCCAGGACTCTGGATCAATTACTCTAATTTCTGGACACATCCCAGGTTAAAACTTTGATTTTGATCTTTGCCTACTGCAGATAGAAACCAAATAGGATGATATGTCTGTGACTCATTAAATGTTAGATATTTTTTCTTAAGAAAGCGAAATGACCTTTAACATTGTCTGAGAAAACATGACAGAAATGCTGAGAGTAATGATTCCTTGAAAGAATTACCCCAGTCAACTCTCAGCAAGACAATGTGAAATGCCACAGGGCTTTTACTGTGCAAGACCTCATTAGCATACAGTTCAAAATCTTGGACGCGGTACCGCATTATCGAAGTCTCCTGTTTTGTCATGTACAGAGTGTGCTGTACGTACCTCTTTCAGGATATGGTGATGACGTCTAGAGGAAGAATTTCTATTCAAATGCATTATTTTTTTTGAGACAGAGTCTCACTCCATTGCCCAGGCTACAGTGCAGTAGCTCAATCTCGGCTCACTGCAACCTCTGCCTCTTGGGTTCAAGCAATACTTGTGCCTCAGCCTCCCAAGTAGCTGGGACTACAGACGTGTGCCACCATGCCTGGCTAATTTTCTGTATTTTTATAGAGACAGGGTTTCACCATGTTGGCCAGGCTGGTCTTGAACTCCTGGCCTTAAGTGACCGGCCTGTCTTGGCCTCCCAAAGTGCTGGGATTATGGGCATGAGCTATTGTGCCCGACCCAAATGCATTTTAAATTTCAGTGTATTTAGTTTTTCATTACTTTGAATAATGTTTCTTATATAATTTTAATGTCACCTGCAAATATCTGTAATGATAGAATCCTGGTAATGTTAATTAAAGAAAGGTATAGATTAAGGTTATTCAGTTGCACAAATAAATCCACAAGGTAAACGTTGTCAGAAGTGATACCTAAACAAACTAAACGTACTTCTCAAACTTCAATGAGTATAGGAATAAGGAATCTTGTTAAATGCAGATTTGGGCTGAGCAGTTAAATTACAGGATCTGGAAAGGAGCCCAAGATCCTGTAATTTAACAAGATTTTAGGTGATACCTTTATTTCTGTAATCAGAGACCATATTTTTAAGTTACCAAGGCTTTAAATCTTAGGGTAAAATTTAGGACTTAAAAAAAACTGGGCATGGTACAGTGACTCATTCCTGTAATCCCAACAGTTTGGGAGGCCAAGGGAGGAGGATTGCTTGAGACCAGGAGTTCAAGACCAGCATGGCAAATTAGGGAGACATCATCTCTCTACAAAAAATAAAATAAGAAATCTGCCAGGTGTGCTGGAATGTGTCTGTAGTCTCAGCTACTCAGAGGCCAAGGAAGGACGATTGCTTGAGCCCAGGAGGTGGAGACTTCAGTGAGCCATGATTGCACCATTGTACTCTAGCCTGAGCAACAGAGCAAGACCTTGTCTCTAAAAGAAAAATAATAACACTTTGTTTTTTGCTGTTTTCTGCCTTGTGAAACTTGATTCTGTTCCTAAAAGTTACAGTAACCATTTCTGCCTTTGTGGAGAGGGGAAACTCTCTGTAGAAAAGGTGAGAAATCCGAACACATTTCTCCGTAGCACCTGTTTGGTACAGCTGTGTCTGTGTTAAAATTTAACCACACTTCTGCTTAATGAAAGGTAAAGAGACTAGATCCAGTTTCAAGATTTTTTCCTACTTCAGAGATTTTATGAGTTATACATGTATAAAAAAGGAATACTCATTTCTTATTTATTTGCCTTTTATTATTTTTTAATTTCTCATTCGTTTTACTTTGTCATCTCTTCCCGAGTGCTCCATTTCTTTATTCTATTATTGTAAATATTCTCCTACTTTCAAGCTTCTCTTATTTGACCCACTCCTTAACCCTCCTACTTTTCTTACTTTTTTCCATTATTCACTGTCTTTACTTTTTTTTGCCCTAAAAGTCTACTAGTATATAGGAAAAATGGGAACTATAAAGCTGTTTTGAACTAGATAAACATTATAAAACATCCTATGGGATGACTTTTAAATAGTTTTTTTAATAGTTCCACAATGTGTATAATTTCCAGCATCTTCTGTTTTATAAGCACCTTTTATAAGTTTAAATGCCTGTATTTACAGAGAATTGTTGCCAATAAAACTCAAATCTGTTCACTGATGCAATGCCTTAGGGGAACTGGAAGAATGCTAGACCTTAGCATTTCTGGAAACATGTTCCTTTTTATTAAAACTTGGTGAACTGGGCCGGGGGCAGTGTCTTACTCCTGTAATCCCAGCACTTTGGGAGGCTGAGGCAGGTGGATCACCAGAGGTCAGGACTTCAAGCTTGGCCAACATGGTGAAACCCCATCTCTACTAAAAATACAAAAATTAGCTGGGCGTAGAGGCAGTCGCCTATAATTCTAGCTACTCAGAAGGCTGAGACAGGAGAATCGCTTGAACCTGGTATTGGAGGTTGCACTCCAGCCTGGGTAACAAGAGAAGAACTTTGTCTAAAAAAAAAACAACTTGATTATTTGATCTTCATAGTACTCTTCTGTATTTCAAGGAAGTTGATTGGTCTTTATCCTTAAAAAATTCAAAAGTATCAGAAGATAGCAGTGTCAAAGATAAACCATGTTAACATCATGTAAAAGTTCCCGCAACTTAATTATACGTCTACTTGTTCTCTTCCATTCAAACATTAATATTACCTACTCTGTAATTTAATGACTTGAAAACTGTGTTATATCCTGGGATTTTTTTTTTCTTTTTTTTTTTCAGACAGAGCCTCACTCTATTGCCCAGGCTGGGGTGCAGTGGCAGGATCTCGGCTCACCGCAACCTCTACTTCCCGGGTTCAAGTGATTCTCCTGCTTCAGCCTCCCAAGTAGCTGTGATTACAGGCATGCACCACCACACCAGACTAACTTTGTATTTTTAGTAGAGACAGGGTTTCAACCTGTTGGCCAGGCTGATCTTGAACTCCTGACCTCAGGTGATCCACCTGCCCCGGCCTCCTATAGTGCTGGGATTGCAAGTGTGAGCCACCACGCCTGGACCTGGGAATATTTTCTTTGTTACATTTGTTTTTTTCTAACTCCAACTATTTTTATCTTCACATGAATATTTAAAGTTTTTCAGAGTACAGCATAAAAGAGATTATTTCACTTGATAATGTGTTGATATATGGTTTTGGGGGCTACATTAAAGGAAATGAATTTTCTCGCTTGCATTATCATGTCAGAAGCAGAAGGAAAACACTTCGCCTCCCTAGCTCTACATCTGTGGTTTCAACCTGAAGTCTCAGGAACATGGCAAGCGTTTGCTTAGCAGAAGACCATCAGATAGCAAGGGAGAAGGTCGGATCCCACATCAGCCTGAATGTGTGCTTAGCAGAAGACCATCAAAGCAGCAAGGGAGAAGGCCAGATCCCACATCAGCCTGAACGTGTGCTCAGCAGAAGACCATCAGACAGCAAGGGAGAAGATCGGATCCCATATCAGCCTGAACGTGTGCTTAGCAGACCATCAGAGCAGCAAGGGAGAAGGCCGGATCCCACATCAGCCTGAACGTGTGCTTACCAGAAGACCATCAGACAGCAAGGGAGAAGGTCAGATCCCACATCAGCCTGAACGTGTGCTTAGCAGAAGACCATCAGAGCAGCAAGGGAGAAGGGCAGATCCCATATCAGCCTGAACGTGTACTCAGCAGAAGACCATCAGAGCAGCAAGGGAGAAGGGCAGATCCCATATCAGCCTGAATGTGTACTCAGCAGAAGACCATCAGAGCAGCAAGGGAGAAGGACAGATCCCATATCAGCCTGAATGTGTACTCAGCAGAAGGCCATCAGAGCAGCAAGGGAGAAGGACAGATCCCATATCAGCCTGAACGTGTGCTCAGCAGAAGACCATCAGACAGCAAGGGAGAAGGTCGGATCCCACATCAGCCTGAACGTGTGCTTAGCAGAAGACCATCAGACAGCAAGGGAGAAGGTCAGATCCCACATCAGCCTGAACGTGTGCTTAGCAGAAGACCATCAGACAGCAAGGGAGAAGGTCGGATCCCACATCAGCCTGAACGTGTGCTTAGCAGAAGACCATCAGACAGCAAGGGAGAAGGTCGGATCCCACATCAGCCTGAACGTGTGCTTAGCAGAAGACCATCAGAGCAGCAAGGGAGAAGGCCGGATCCCACATCAGCCTGAGCGTGTGCTTAGCAGAAGACCATCAGACAGCAAGGGAGAAGGTCGGATCCCACATCAGCCTGAACGTGTGCTTAGCAGAAGACCATCAGAACAGCAAGGGGAGAAGGCCGGATCCCACATCAGCCTGAACGTGTGCTTAGCAGAAGACCGTCAGAGCAGCAAGGGAGAAGGGCAGATCCCATATCAGGAATGTGTACTCAGCAGAAGACCATCAGAGCAGCAAGGGAGAAGGACGGATCCCATATCAGCCTGAACGTGTGCTTAGCAGAAGACCATCAGAGCAGCAAGGGAGAAGGCCGGATCCCACATCAGCCTGAACGTGTGCTTAGCAGAAGGCCATCAGAGCAGCAAGGGAGAAGGTCGGATCCCACATCAGCCTGAACGTGTGCTTAGCAGAAGGCCATCAGAGCAGCAAGGGAGAAGGTCGGATCCCACATCAGCCTGAACGTGTGCTCAGCAGAAGGCCATCAGAGCAGCAAGGGAGAAGGTCGGATCCCACATCAGCCTGAACGTGTGCTTAGCAGAAGGCCATCAGAGCAGCAAGGGAGAAGGTCAGATCCCACATCAGCCTGAACGTGTACTCAGCAGAAGACCATCAGAGCAGCAAGGGAGAAGGTCAGATCCCACATCAGCCTGAACGTGTACTCAGCAGAAGACCATCAGAGCAGCAAGAGAGAAGGTCAGATCCCACATCAGCCTGAATGTGTACTCAGCAGAAGGCCATCGGAGCAGCAAGGGAGAAGGGCAGATCCCACATTAGCCTGAAACATTGTCTTCAAATGCAGTGTGTTGAAAAGAGAACCTTTACTACAAAACAGACTCCTGGTTTTGTCCATTAGAAAAGGAAATATTTACAAGCAAAATTATTTTGGCCAGAGAAGAGACCAGCTGTTTCCAGTAGCTGGTCTCTTATTATTTCTATGGAATAATTCCTTAGAGATAGGAGAACATTGTTTCATTAAAGTAATTCTAAATCCTGATAACTGTAACATAAAATCCAGGACCTTAGGACAGGGATGCAATATATAGTGAATTATGTAACTGTGCTGCCTTTCTCTATAGCTAATGCAAATCAAAAAAAAAAAAAAAAAAAAAAGATCTATTTTTTTTTTTTTTTTTACGTCCAAAGCCTCACAACATGAGGCTTCCTTGTCCTTATTTGCTGGAGTTCAGCCCATTTAAAGAGTTTTACCACTGAGTATTTTGGAATGTTGTGCCTGAGACCTCCTCATCAGGACTATGGAACATGCCATTTCATTTTTGTCCTTGGACTCCTCGGGTCCCCAGCCATCTGTGTCTGCTCCTGTTGTGGTCTGCACACAGCCATGTTTCTTCCACTGTTCATAGCCACTGGTCCTCCGACTCCAGGCTGTGGGACAGAACCCTGCACCATCTAGTTTCCCACAGCACAGATGTCTAAAAGCTGAATGTTATAAAGACAAGGCGGAAACCCCATGGAGGAAATGGCTCACACCTGCTCTCAGAGCTGGCTGCTTGCTGCTCCTGATCCCATTCCAGACTTCTCAGCAGCCTGATGGTGAGGGCATCTTGTGCTCTGTCACCACACCTTGGAGCCCACGTGGTACCAATTTATGCAGCAAGGGAAGGTGGAAATCTGTTCCCCAATCAAAAGCCCAGTTCCTTTATGCCTCTGGGTGATGGGGGAGGGGCATTTACTTCTCTCAGAAGGCATTTCCTGCCTTACCTCTACAAGATATGTTCTTCATTCTATAGCCTGAACAAGACCATCATCAGGCATGCTTGTATTTTCCATTTGGCTTGTTCTCTTCTTTCACCAAATGGGACTAGAAGCCTGGACTTGATTCTTCAGGTGGTAAAGAGCCATTGAATGTTTCTCAGCCGTTTAAAGCCATGATGTGGGAACATCCTTAGCCATACTAAAGACGTATTTGGGGGCCGGGCGTGTGGCTCAAGCCTGTAATCCCAGCACTTTGGGAGGCCGAGGTGGGTGGATCATGAGGTCAAGAGATCGAGACCATCCTGGTCAACATGGTGAAACCCCGTCTCTACTAAAAATACAAAAAATTAGCTGGCCATGGTGGCACATGCCTGTAATCCCAGCTACTCGGGAGGCTGAGTCAGGAGAATTGCCCGAACCCAGGAGGCAGAGGTTGCGGTGAGCCAAGATCGCGCCATTGCACTCCAGCCTGGGTAACAAGAGTGAAACTCTGTCTCAAAAAAAAAAAAAAAAAGATACAAAAGACGTATTTGGAGGTAAAAGAGAAGTATTATGGGCAAGTAATCGACAGGCCATCCTTGTGTAATGTCCCAGGTAGAAGCCTACTGTAGTGGTCCGTATGAAAGGTGATGAGGTCTAAAGTAGGTCGGAGACTGTGAAATGGAAGGAGGCCACAGATCAGGTATAAGATTTAATGCGTAGATTTGGGAGAGTACCTGGAGAAGAAAAGCTTGACAACTGATTCAATGTAGGGGTTCGGGGGATGTAGAAAATGAGTCCGAAATTGATTACCAGTCGCACGGCTAAAGCTGGCTTAATTTCTTTTTTTTTTTTTTGAGACGGAGTTTTGCTCTTGTTACCCAGGCTGGAGTGCAATGGCGCGATATCAGCTCACCGCAACCTCCGCCTCCTGGGTTCGGGCAATTCTCCTGCCTCAGCCTCCCGAGTAGCTGGGATTACAGGCATGCGCCACCATGCCCAGCTAATTTTTTGTATTTTTGGTGGAGACGGGGTTTCACCATGTTGATTAGGATGGTCTCGATCTCTTGACCTCGTGATCCACCCACCTCAGCCTCCCAAAATGCTGGGATTACAGGCGTAAGCCACCGCGCCCGGCCAAGCTGAGTTAATTTTATTACTGAAGAAGGGAAGATACTGTTTGAGTTTAAAGTAATGGATTAAGTTTTGGACAAGTTTGGACTAGAGGGATATGAGGGCGCTGGTATCTAGCAAGTGGTTAAGGAAAGCTACTTTTTATGGAAGGCTTGCTGGGCATCAGGTACTTTGCCAAGCCCTGGGCATGCCTCATATTGTTTACAGTAAAGATTTATCTTATTTATTTATTTATTTAAATTTTTTTTTTTTTTTTGAGTGGGAGGCTTGCTCTGTTGCCCAGGCTGGAGTCCAGTGATGCAATCTCGGCTCACTGCAACCTCCGCTGCTCGGATTCAAGCAATTCCTCTGCCACAGCCTCCTGAGTAGCGGGGACTACACGTGTGCACCACCACGCCCAGCTAATTTTTTTGTATTTTAGTAGAGACAGGGTTTCACCATGTTGGCCAGGATGGTCTCGATCTCCTGACCTCCTGATTCACCCGTCTTGGCCTCCCAAAGTACTGGGATTACAGGCATGAGCCACACACCTGGCTGTTTATCTTTTTTAAAAAATGAATTGTAATGTGTATATTTAAGGTATATAGCACAATGTTATGGGGCACATATGCAGAATAAAATGGTTACTATACTGGAACCAATGACCATAAGCATCATCTCACATAGTTACCTTTACTTTTTTTTAGCAAGAGCAGCTAAAATCTACTCATTTAGCAAAAATTCCAAATATAGTATAATTATACTATACATCACAGTCCTCATGTGTTCCTCTCCAGACTTGTTCATCCTACATTTTGGCTACTTTTTGTTTTCTGACCTACCTGCGTTGAAGGATTGCTGTGAATATTAATAATAATAATACAGCTTTTGGCATAAAAAGTAAACAAAACAATATGCTGCTTATTATTTTATCTCTATTCTATTATCCCTGTATTGTAGGTAAGGAAAAGCATCTTAGGTAAGGCACTTTCCCAAAGCCTTCCGATTTGCTAGTTCTAGAGATAGAGTGTAAACCCAAGTGGTCTGATGCTGAAGCATGACCTATTGACCACTCCCCTCTGATAGTTCCCTAATATGCAGGTCTGGAGCTTGGGGAGAAGTCAGGGCTAACAACGTAGGTTTGGAAGTTAGCCATTTATCCTACAAACCTTTCCCGAGGCCCGTCAGTGGCCAAGTGCAGTGCCCTGAGCTATGACCATGCACACAGACACCATCGGTGCCACCCTAGAGATGTGAGTGGAAACAGTGGTCTTTAATTAAGCAGTTGTGAGCAAGAGAAAGAGAAGCAGCTGCAGGGAAGGATCTTGTAGTTGAGCAATGAATAGATGCCATCGAAGAGAGGAAAACCCAATGCAGCTAGCATAGGGACCAAGGAAAAAAGGTGGAGCCTGCGTCATTATTCCAGAAAATAAGTAGACCAAAGTGGATCGTGAGGAGCTGCTGAGTTGAACAATTTGGGGGGATAATTTGTTAGCTTCATGGAAATGGCCTCGAGTGACATTTTGAGGGATTTTGAACTGCAAGCATAGAGATGTAAGTAGACTAAGATATATAGAACTTGGGGTGCAATTAAAAAACAGAATTGGAAGATGAGAGAAGCCAAATGGAGGAGGGGGCTGTTTTTGTTTTCTACTTAGGATTTTGGACTTCTCTTTTTGTTTTCTGGCTCTTGAACCTGACAGTAGGAGAGAACATAATAGAACAGCACTTTTAAAAAATATATATATATATTTTATTGTGTTTTAGGTTTTGGGGTACATGTGAAGAACATGCAAGATTGTTGCACAGGTGCATACATGGCAATGTGGTTTGCTGCCTCTATCCCCACCACCTATATCTGGCATTTCTCCCGTTATTCCTCCACAACTCCCCACCCCCTGTTGTCCCTCCCCTAGTTCCCCCCTACAGATCCCAGTGTGTGATGCTCCCCTCCCAGTGTCCATGGGTTCTCATTGTTCAACACCCACATATGAGTGAGAACATGTGGTGTTTGATTTTCTGTTCTTGTGTCAGTTTGCTGAGCATGATGATTTCCAGGTTCATCCATGACCCTTCAAAGGACACGAATTCATTGTTTTTTATGGCTGCATAGTATTCCACGGTGTATATGTGCCACATTTTCCCTGTCTAGTCTATCATCGATGAGCATTTGGGTTGTTTCAAAGTCTTTGCTATTGTAACAGTGCCGCAATGCACATTCATGTGCATGTGTCCTTATAATTGAACGATTTATAATCCTTTGGATATATACCCAGTAATGGGATTACAGGGTCAAATGGAATTTCTATTTCTAGGTCCTTGAGGAATCACCACACTGTCTTCCATAATGGTTGAACTAATTTACAATCTCACCAACAGTGTAAAAGTGTTCCTATTTCTCCACATCCTTTCCAGCATCTGTTGTCTCCAGATTTTTTAATGATTGCCATTCTAACTGGTGTGAGATGGTATCTCAATATAGTTTTGATTTGCATCTCTCTAATGACCAGTGATGATGAGCATTTTTTCATATGTTTGTTGGCCTCATGTATGTCTTCTTTTGTAAAGTATCTGTTCACATCCTTCTCCCACTTTTGAATGGGCTTGTTTTGTTCTTATAAATCTGTTTTAGTTCTTTGTAGATTCTGGATATTAGCCCTTTGTCAGATGGGTAGACTGCAAAAATTTTTTCCCATTCTGTTGGTTGCTGGTTCACTCTAATGATTGTTTCTTTTGCTATGCAGAAGCTGTGGAGTTTGATTAGATCCCTTTTGTCTATTTTGGCTTTTGTCACCAATGCTTTTGGTGTTTTGGTCATGAAGTCCTTGCCTATGCCTATGTCCTGAATAGTTTTACCTAGGTTTTCTTCTGGGGTTTTATGGTGTTAGGTCTTATGTTTAGGTCTTTAATCCATCTGGAGTTAATTTTAGTGTAAGGTGTCAGGAAGGGGACCAGTTTCTGCTTTCTGCACATGGCTAGCCAGTTTTCCCAACACCATTTGTTAAACAGGGAATCCTTTCCCCATTGTTTGTTTTTGTCAGGTTTGTGAAAGATCAGATGATTGTAGTTGTGTGGTGTTGCCTCCAAGGCCTCGGTCCTAGAACAGAAGCACATGTTCTTATAGAGTGAGGAATGGTGGGTAGATTGTCAATCAGCTGGAAAAGTTGTTTCAAACAAAACTATAAATGTGCTGCATGCAAATATTAAGTGTTTTATTTCAACATAAACCATGTAAGTGTTGATTTACTTACCAACATTTTGCTGAGAATCCCGTGCCTTTTCTAAGCATGTGGCTCTGCTGACTGCATTTTCTCACCTTCTCTCCCAGGCAAACTGCACCCATGATACAACCTCAGCCACCTCTGGTTGTGGCCTCTTTAAAGAGCAAGAAATAACTTGGGAAGTGATTCGGATACAGAGACTTTTTTGATTTTTTTTTAGTGATTCTTCTCATTGTTTGTTGTATTTTTTCTTAAATGTTAGTCAACAGTTTTTGATAATGCCTTTCCAAAACATTTGACCTAGTTTTTTATAAAAGCACCAACTCTTTTAACAGAAATATTTCAGCAGTTCATACTATGACTCATGCCTGCAGCGGCCTCCAGGCAGGACACTAGCTGATGTGGATGTGCAGCAAAGGGCCCCAGGGGAGAGAATGGCCCTTCAGACTCCAGGACAAAAAGGAGGCCATGTGGGGACTCTGTGGATGGGCGGCTTACCAGGTTCTCAAGAAAAGGAGCCTGAGAGACCTGCCAATAGCAGGAATCTTCAGCAAGGAAGCTACAGGGCCACTGTCACATGCTAAAGCTGCACTCAGGAGAGGGACTTAGGGAAGGCATAGCAGAGAGGTGTTGCCATAACCACATGCTCAGGCAGTGGCTGTCAGATGGTCCATGTGGGACCTCTCAAGGAAACCCATGAAATGTCCGTGAAAGGGGGAAGCATCAGCTCCCCACAGCCACACACACTGGAGAGCACCGAGGCCGGACTGTGACACCATTCCTCCAGGAAGCCTTTTCCATGCCTAATTGCTGGCCTGGCCCCAACCACCTTGGCCCTGAAGGAGTGGAAAGCCCTTGTGAATGTCAGCTTGGGGTATGAAGGGAAAGAATTGCGAGCAGGGAAATCAACTGGAAGCCAGCCATGCCTCTTCATTACCATAGGAGGATTCTCAACTGAAGCAGGTCCTAGCAGGTGCAGGGACGTGATAAAATTTTATATATATAAATTATTTATTTATTATATATATAATTTATATATTTTTATATAAATATATAATATATAATATATATAATTTTACATATATATAATATATATAAATATATATATATATAATATATATAAAGTATATATATACATACATACAATCTTTTACTTTTTTTGAGATGAAGTCTCACTCTGTTGCCCAAGCTGGAGTGCAGTGGTGCAATC